ACTATTGTAAAGTTAGCTTCAGTACAACAGAAGCTTATAGTTCCGATGTAAATATTATTACTATAGAAGGCTTGCAGTATTTATCGGCCTTAATTCACTCTTTAATAGAATTGCGGAGTTACAAAAAGGTATTTATGTGATTTTTAGGGTTTTTACGATGTTTCTGTTGTCTTTCCTACTTAATTAAAAATAATATTATCAAATAATAAAATAGGTTTTTAAATATGTATATATATAAAATTAACTTAAAGCTTATAGTTTTTATAAAAAGAATTTTTCTGAAAATAAAAGTAAATCTTGAGCAACTTTTAATAAGTCACTTGCGGACTTTTTTTATAGTTAATTTTTTTAACTACTATTTTTTTACTAATTGTAGGCTTCTAAAATTATTAGCTTTTTGGAAAACTTTATTTCTTTAGCAAACTTTAAAAGTATTTTTTTATAACGTTTTATACTTCTTGAAGCCTGTTGAACTCGTTTTATAGGCTTTTATTCAGAGCCTTTGAGCCCTTCTTCCAAATCATTTGCAAATGTTTTGTTTTATTTTCTTTCTTCTAAAGGTTACATATAATTGAAAGTTTACTCCTTAATCTAAATAATTTTTTTAAATCCTTGAAGGATTTTTATATTTTTTTGAAGGCTTACACAATGAAGCGCTCACTCAATTTTCTCAGTTGATGTTGAGCTGTGAAGTTTGTTGTTTTTTATGTTTTAACGAGTTCATACAAGTTTAATAAAATCTTTTTTATAATTTTTATATATAATTAAAATAAAATTGTTTTAAAATACAATATGAAAAATTTTAAGTAGTTTCTTAAATTATAAGTCTAACTTTTACTCCGAGGCTCTCTATTATTAAAATTATGAAGTGCTTTTGCAATTTCTATTATTTACGTTTACGCAGTATATTATTAAATAAATATTTTTAATAAAAAGTATGCAATTAAAAGAATATTCTAAATTTATTCTTTTTTTATTTTTGTATTTTTTATATATTGTGAAGTATCTTTAACTTATAATTTAACAAAGAAAAAAAAATTAATTTTGTCATAAGCTTATAAAATTTAAGTTAAAATATATTTTATTTTTATGATTATTTTAAAATTTATTTGCTTTTGAACTTTTGTGTAAGCTATTGGTGGATAATATATACTTCACGCTTCCAGTTTCCAAATAATCCAATTATAGTAAAATTTCTGTGTTTTTTTATAATTAAGCGTTTTCACTATTTAATTCAATTTTATATATATTAGGAAGATTGTTTTGTATAAACTATTTTAAAGCAAGATATCAATATATATTTTTTTCTACGTTTTCATAATAACCTGTACTTATAATTAATATAAATTAAAATATATAAAAATTTATTTTTATATTCTTATATATTTAAAGTCTCTTCACTCCAACTTTTTATACGAAGAGGAAATTTGTAAAGAAAATGACTTATTCAAAAAGTACATCCGGTCTGGTCTTTATTTGAGCTGGTGCCTTTTCCACGTGGCTGACTACACGCTTTGCGATTCGCTGCTTGAGCATCTCATTAAAAAAGGACTTACTCGTGACTTACACCAGTCAGAAACCGAATTTTTAAATAAAGAAAAGGAAAATCTTTTTTCAATTAATACGCATGCGCAGCTTCTTTCGTTGAGGGGAAGATTAAACCTTTTTTACGGAGATTTAACGTATTTTTAATTTCATATATATATATAAAATTATTATAACAATTTTTATTTAAAGTAAAAGTTTTATTTCAATAATACTTTTTATGAACACCTCATGCCTCTTAGTAAATTTATTTCATAAAATTTATAACATATTTATATATGAAAAAGTTATTTAAATTGTAAATTTAAAATTGTGAATTTTTATTATTTAAAAAATTATTAATTTGTATATAATTATTATCTTTAAAAATACTTTATATATGATATATTATTAATCCCCTTCAGTTAGTTGTACATATTATATAAAAAAAAATTTAAAATAATAAATAAAACTATTTTTTATGCCTAGTATGATTTTTTAAACTAATAATTTTACTTCTTTTTATCTTTGTAATTCTTATATTTATTACTTAAAATTTTTTACGTTGGAAACTTCTATTGTTGTAATAAATATTCAGTTTTAATAAATATTATATTATACTATATTTATGTATAGTTCTTTATAACTTTATTATAGTAATTTATAAAATAGAATTAAAATTTATTTAGTAGTGCTTTCAATATTCTCACTTCTCTTAAGCTCTCAGTTTTCTTATGGTGATTCTTTTATGCGATCAGTGCTGCAGAGACCTTTTTTTCTGAAGCTGGTTTGCTGTCGACTGACCAATCGACCTCAGAAATGTGCATTACCAATCAGTTTCTCTTAAAAATCGCTAACGATGATTTCTTTGGAGCTGAAAAGTGTCTTCGGGAATTATTGGCCTTTCAAACTGAGTTAATATTAATATCAAATTACTTTATTATCAAGATTTAATTTTTATAAAAATTCTTGTATAGATACATCTGTTTTTATGCTCTCCATTAAATAAAAATAAAAAAGTTCTAGTACTGACTTTTTTTTGCTGTTTTTTTATTTTTTCTTATAAATATTCTGATTGGATTAAAATTATTCCAATTTAGAAATTTATTAATAGGATTCGTTAAATTACTTTTTCTGCCTTTCAAAAAAGTAAAAATCCTAATAATCTTTTAATGCCACTTTCAACTTTTTTACTGTGAAATATTCACCAATACAATTAGTTTCTACCTTCTTTTTTTACCAGTGAAATAATAGGTTTTTATATTTAATCTTTAAGTTTTCTGAAGTCTTCTGCGGATCCTCAAGAAGCTGCATGTTTATTTACGCGCACAATACCAACTTTATCTAATCTGGCGGTTTGTGATCTTTATTTTGGTATGTTTTAACAATTTTATTGTATATAGTGATGTCAAATATAAACCTTAATTAGCAGAAAACTTTTCTTCTTGTGTTAAGAAAACTTTATTATGAGTAAAACCATGATAAAAGTATATATAGAATCTTATTTTTTTAATACCAGTAAGAAAGGAATATACCTTGGTTTAAATTTTTTTATACGAAATATTTGTTTATTTTAAAAAAAATTGAAGTGTACTAAGTAAAAAACAATAACTTTATAAAATATATAAAAAAAAAGTGAATTATAATCAATAAAGTTTTTGTTTATACATTTACTTCTTGTATCTACTTTATTTTTTATGATATAAATAGAAAACGTGGAAGGAAGTTTACGAAAAATTCAAAAATTATTAAAAAAGTTGGAAAAGCGAAAAATTTTTACTGAAAAAAGTTTACTTATATATTACTTATTATGTATTTTAGTCTTGCAACTATTATGAATTTTATTATTATCAGCTTTTTGTTATACTTTTTGTACATTTTTTATCATAATTGATAATAATTTTAGTTTTAATTAATTTCATTTAAAAAGTTATTCTTTATAATACGAGCTGCTTGTACGAGTTACAATCCAGTAAAACTGCACAGAAAAGAAAGAGTTTAACTGATTATCTCAAGAAGTTGTCTTTGAAAACTTTGGAGACTGAAGATTTTGAAGTTTCAGGAGTTTAATAAAGTTACTATATTGTACCCTATAAGAAATAGCCCTTCTGCAAATTAATTCTATTTTGCTTTAATTTATTTAAAATAATAAATTTATCGAAGTAACAATTAAATTAGGAAATTAAATTGGTTATTATAGGAAAATTCTTTACATTCGTGATTTTTCAACAAACTATTTTATCATTTTTGGGTTAATTTGTAAAACGACTTTTGTTTATGCTAATCTTGTCTTTTTGCATATTGCATTAAAGAAACTGTAATAAAAACATGATAAAATTCAGGGCGAGTTTTAGTTTGTTTGTGAGTTTTAAAAGACTTTTTTTACTACTACCGATAAGAGCGCAAGCTGTTTCTCGGGTGCTGTAAGAGCGAATCTCTTTTTTAGTAATTCCAAACAAGTAAAAAGTTCTACTTCTAAAATCAGCTATCTTTACTTTTGTAATTGAGGACAAATTTTTTTTTTTTAAATTAATTTCTCTTAAATTACCGTAAAATTTTGACTCAATTCGTGTGCAGAGACAACGTAACAACTCCACCGTGGGCTGTGCTCAACTTTTTTTTTTCCCCATGAGAAAAAGTTACTATAGAGTCATCTTTATTCACAAAGTTATTTTTACACAAAACGACTTCCTACTTGTAAAGTTAAGCCCGTGGACGACAGGATAGTGTTACTTTCTGCTAATATCGGTCCGCTGCTAAAGTAGTTGTAACTTAAGGCAGGATTGCAATTTACTATAATTTACATATGTATACCCAACATTAACAGTACTGAAAAGTTCAACACTTAGAGCTAAGTTTGTTGTCGCGGTTTTAATTAACCTTAAAGTAGGTTTTAAAAGTAAAAAACTCCATAAAAACTAAGAAACCTAATAATATTCATTGTATATGAAGTTCTCAAAGTACTAAAGTCAATGAATTTCGTGACTTATTTTTGTTCTTTTTCTCAAGTGCTTGTCTTTATAACTTTTACACGTTTTTAAATAAACTGCCGTGAGCACCTCAATAGGGGGCGTACAAATACAAAATACTCTAATTACTTTAATAACTACGGTTATACCTTATACTGATACTTGTTAACAATTACCACTTTTATCGTAACTAGCTATGATTAAAAATGTTAATATTTATTAACTGCTATAAAAAAAAGCCTTGTTTAGGTAATGTATATCCTATATTACTACTGCCGGCGCTTCTATTACAAGGTCTGCAAGAGGTGTCCTGTTTACAAATAATTAAGTTAAAACTTTGAGGTTATAACTTTATTTTTAATGGAACTACAAGATAGACAAAGTCCTATAACTTCAGAGGCTGATTTGGAGCACGAATACGTTCATAAAGTTTATAAAGAAATTGCCTTACATTTCAATAGCACTCGGTGGTGTCAATGGCCGAAAGTTAAAAATTTTGTCAAGTCTTTTCCGAAGGGGAGGTTTTTTTAAAGTTTACTTTAAAAGGTTCCATTTAAATTTATTTGGCTAAAAAGTTTATGGGCTGATGTGGGCTGCGGAAACGGAAAGTATTTAGAAGTAAATGAAGACACGTTTTCAATAGGTTGACTTTCTTTTTAGATATAATTTGTTACTTATAAAATTATTTTTTTAAACCTTATCTAACATTTTATGAACTACTACTTTCTTTTCCTTCGACTTCAAATTTGTCTCAAAATATATATAATAATGTGATTTGTCTTTTTAGGTACTGATAGAAACGTAGAGTTTATTAAAATAGTTTCAGAAAAAAATTGTCAAGGTGTAGTTGCCGATTCTTTAAGCTTACCATACCGGCCTTGCTCTTTCGTAGTATTTTTGTTTATAACTCCTTTTATATATAATATTTCAATATTGATAAAAAATATAACTTTTCAACTAATTTAACCATTTTTAATGAGGATTACGTCATAAGCATAGCAGTCATTCATCATTTTTCGAGTGTAAAAAGAAGAATTCTAGCCATTCAGCAAATGAAAAAAATTTGCAAAAATAAAGGATTATTAATGATCTACGTCTGGTCCAAAGAAAATAATAATGTTTACTTTTTGTTTTTTACGTATAACTTTTACTTGGTTTAAAGAAAATAAATTTAATTTTTTACCTTTCAATTATCTGATGAAAATATTATTTGACTAGAGAATGCCTCATAATATTTCGTCTTCTTCTGATCGCATTCACACTTTATTATACAAATTATAAAATTTATATAAAAAAAAGTTACATTGGCGTTCAATAAAACTAATGAAATTAAATTTTTATTTTTACGTCAACTTTCTTCGAATACATCTTGCCTAACTTTTCTTAAAAGATCAAAAGTACCAACGATTTGAAAGATGTACTTGTTCCTTGGCATCTTCAAGCCCACTTTGTTAAGAATAAGCCTAACCACGAAAGTGAGACGTTGATCTATAAACGCTATTATCATTTATTCGAGAAAGGCGAACTCGAAGAATTAATTTTTCAGGCAACCTTACTTATTATTATTATAATTTTAACAAAACAAATAAAATTTCTTTATTATAAACTGTAGGCAGGTGGACTAGAAATAATTGAAAACGGTTTTGATAAAGAAAACTGGTTTGTTATCGCAAAGAAATTGAATTAAAAAAATTTTAATTTTATTTTAATCTTATATTAAATTCGTCTGTTACACCAAATTTTAATCGTAAACAATTGAAAAAGATTAATTCTACCTTTATTACCAAAGTTAAACTTTAATCTTCTCAATATTCTGCTTATAATATAAAGCACATTTCTCTATTTTGTCTCTGTTATAACTAAAACTTTGAAATAAGATCATTTTTAAGTTAAAGACTACTAGTTAATAAAAAATTTTATTTTATAATAAAATTATAATTACAAAAGTTTCTTTAATATGACAGAGCCGGCGCGGAAATTGTAAATGAAAAAAGGCTCGCAAGGCTCACGCTTCGGCATCTTTTTAATTACAACGTTAAAGTGATTCTTTTAGTAAAACTCTTGTCGGGCTTTCCATTTATAAATAGAATAAGTAGATTATCCTTCGAGGGGGAAGTATATATTTGGTTGGCAAGAAAGATAGAAGCCTTCAAAGTTCGCTTTTGCCTCTCCAAAAAAAAAAAAAATCTACAGTTGTCTTTTTAAATTATCTGTAAACTTAAAGATTTTCATACTTTTGAACTAATATTTTTTTCATTGCCCATAAAGAAAAATATTACGTAAGTTGTTCATAATCTAAGTTATTCTACATTTATACTACGATCCAATCGAACTTTTCAGTTATTAAGTTAATAAAACTTTTTAAAAGGTTTTCTTTTCATACAAAACTCACAAAGCTTTCGCAATAATTTCTTATTGAATATAAAAATTTATAAATCGTTATTATTGATAAGCAACGCCATAAACATCTACAAGTATAGAAGTATTTCCATGCTCGCTTTTGATAGTTAGCAGGCCTAAAAGTTAAAAATTAGCCAAGATACAAGTATAAGGTTAAATAATTTTATTCAAATATATGAATATTAAAAAGGATAAATATAATATAAATTGTGGAAGAAATTTTAATTGTTCCCCATTAAAAATGGTATATTTTATATACCATTTTCAGGAGCTAATAATAAGTACAATTAAAAAAAATATAAAAAACTATTATATTTATTTTCAAAGGAAGACAAAGTTTATTTGTAATAACCGTCAGTGTCCTGGTTGTAGATATAGCGACTGCCTCTCGTCATTCCTCCTTTAGTTTTATCAATTACATTTATTGACACTAATAGAAGAGTATTTATAAAAATCATTACAATGAGGAGTAAAGCATTAAAGTGTACAACAAATATACGAACCAAAAAATTTATAACTAGAGTACTGATCCCTAAGAGTATCCACGCTTTCCCTTAAAAATTTTCCAACATTATTTTTTGAATCTTCATCACTAAAACGAAGAAATTATTATATAAAAAGGAAATTTAAGTAGAGAAATTTTAAAATTCAAAAGTTATATGAATAATATTGACTTGAAAATTGCAAGTTTAGAAAATAAACAAAGTAAGCTAATTTAACTTATAAGTGAAATTTGATGAAAAAATCCGCTCAAGGATTTCTCGCATAGCATTTTCGAGTTCAACTAATAATTATTTATTACAAAGTATTATTATACAAACTCTAAATGGCTTACCTCTTGGAAAAGAAGTCATACTAAATACTAACAAAAGCCTGTAAATAGTCCTCCACAAAAATATCAATGCCTCTAAGGCCTACAGGTATCCAACTATGTCTGTTCCTTTCCCATACGCAGAGGGGCGCTCGACTATATTGTTTAATATATTTATATTAAACACGAATGTGTATAAAAAACCTTTTTAAAGTTTACTACTTTCATTTTAATTTAGTTTCCCTTGCTTAATGTCAACTATGTAAAGTAACTACTAATTTTCTTTGAGAAGGTAGAGTAATTAAAGAAGTGTTCTAATTTAGTTATGACTTTTCTAAGGTTATATAATTGTATTAAGTCACAAATAAAGCAATAAAGTTGTAGTGGTTAAAAAAAAAAATTAGGATATATTTGTTGTTGTCTGTTAGCTCTAAAAATAATTAAAATTTTTCGACTGTTTTGCAAAGTAAATAGGAAATCTTATGTTTTAGTAGTTTTTACAAGTAACTTTTTACGAAGCACTACTTAAAGCCTGTGAATACTTGAACTTTGTAAGAAACTGGAAACAAAATGCCGCAGAGTTTTCCAAACGCTTAAATAATTCTTTTATTTCGCCACTAGCATCTTAAAAAAACCTTTATACTTATATAACTATAGCAATGGGTAAATCTTTCCAATTTTTTCTCAACTTGGTATTTCTTAAAAGCATAAATTACACATTTCTTTATATAATTTTTCAATAAATCAATAATAAGCGATTAATTAATTTAAACCGTCATCTTAAAGGTTGCCTTGGACTAAACGTTCCAAATTTTCAAAACTTGTTCAAAATTGTAACAGAAGTACAAGTATTTCGTAACTTCTACCTCAAGTTATTTGAAATATATTTTTTCCAACTTATGTTTCTAGCAACTAAATAACTAGTTATTTTCTAATATCAGTTTCGCCAGACGCTGTTTAATTAACTAACAGCGTTTAATTTATCCAAAGAAAGTAAGCGATGTATGCAACAAACTTTACTTGTGGGCAAAGAATGAAGTGAGGTAGTAAAACAAGCTAACTAATAAATCAAACTTTTTTTATAAAATTATTTTTTCGCTATAACGGGTACAATTTTTAACGATATATGAGAACTTTTATTATTTTAAAATTATAGTAAAAAATAGTTATTTAGTAAAAGTGGAAGTTTAAATAAATTAGCAGGCCTAAAATTTATTATAACAAATATAGTGAATTAGTACAAAGAAAAAACTAAATACTTCAAGACATCATAAGTTACGAACTTCTTCAGTGTAAACTGTCGAATTTTCAGTGACCTGAACATAATTTTAATATTATCATTAATAGAAAAAAGCAGAAAATAATTTCTTAAATATTGTATGTTACTAAAGGAGTAAAAAAGTAAATGTGAAGGCTTAATAAAGACTTATAAAACGTTAGATATTTAGTAGTTCGAATTTAAAAACAATATTTATCACTATAAATATATATTATTACAAGTAAGTGCTCATTCAGAGTACTTAATAAGGAAGCGTGTACTATAATAATGCACGTCGAGAGGCCTACAAGCCAAAAAGTTAAAAGTAAACCTTAAAAATTTTAAAGAGTTGAGGGACACCTATAAGCCAAAAAAACAACGTTCCTGCGGAGGCTATGAAATAAAAAGGTAAGGATAACAGAGCGCATAATAGAATCACTTCCTTTTCACTGATTCTTCTACCTTAAAAAATATAATGGAAGTACATTTCTAAGTTGAAATTATTCAAGTAATTTACCATGAAAACATAATTTACCAGAATTAGACAAAAACTTGGAGAATAAAAAACCAAAAGTAAGAATTAGAATGGGGACCAAAAGTAAAGGCGTGGTAAACCTAAACATTCAAGAACAGAAACTAATATACTGCCCAAAAGAAATGGACACGCAATTACAGGCAATATACCACAAGGATAGCCACTATAAGTAAATAATTTGAAGAAAAATACTCCAAATTATGTCCAACTCTTTTTTTGATAAGCAATAAGCTTTCAGGGACTGAAAATTTATTGACGTTGAAAAATTCTGCGATTGGTTTGTAGTTCGAGTACCTGCGAGAAACATTGGGATAAAATAGCTTTATTGTTTCTTTTGTAAAATAGTAATAACCTTTGACTAAGAAAATCCTTAGACCTTTGCAGTAATACGGGATCGACACTAATACGGGTCATGGAGCCATCAACGTCTCGTATAAGGAATGACAAAAGAGGAAAATTATTTAGGGATGCCATTAATGCTCGCTCGTTACCAGACTTCGAACACTTTGAGCTCCCTACCAGGACCGGAATTTTGAGGGGAAAGCCTAGTTTAGTGTAACCCACGTGGCCACTCACCATGGACAACCTGGTAGAACTCGATACTTCTAAATAATTTCCTGCCTACTTTAGAAGGGCGGCGTCCATACTTTTCGGTGGTAAAAAATTTAATAAATTAAGACTTTAACTGCTTTAATCTATGTCCAGTCATCCCCCACAACTTTGACTTATTTGCTGTTATAGTATTTAGTAAGGTAAGGGCGTGTGTTAGAACTCCTTTCCCCTTGAAAGTAGGCACTCCTACCTTTTGGTGTGGTGGTGGTGGCAGACTGCTTAGATCAAGCGGGGTGCCGGAATTCTCAGTTAAATTTCATATAATGACCAGCCTGTTTAGCAAGCCCACTGAGCTTGTTTTTTCGACAAGTGTAATATTGCCTAGAAACTATAAATAAGCCCATTATTCTAATTTTATGCAGAAAAATGCTTAAACTTCAGTATAATAAAGTGATACTAACTTTTTTAAATATATATCATTGAGTTTTTTTGAGTTTTTTATTTTAATTATTCAATGTGAAGTAGAAACGCTGCTAGAGTATACAACTTAGATTTGTTCTAAAACAGCTATTAAAAAAAATAATCGACCTCTAAAAAATTTAGCATTGAAAAGTTTAAACTGTGAAGCGTACTAAATTTTCTACTCATGTTCTCCCACAATAACTTCTATTGATAGTCTAAAGTGCTTGTTTCGTAGTCTGTTTTTTAAGTCCTCTCCTTTGAGCTTCATCTTTATCTAAAGTTTACAGTAACCGCTCTCCCAAATAATTTTTGTAAAGCTCAAGAACCTAGTCACCACTTAGGTGGGAAAGTGTTTTGAGAATTCTTCGGCAACCAGTTGTTAGGGCCCGATGTGCGAACAAATGTTATGATGCATCTATTAGCTTAAAGGTCATAAATGGCGATGAAATATTGCAGTTATCTACAAAATTTACAAATACAACAAAAAGTAAAAGAGCGTTCTTTTATGCTGCGCTTTTGTTTAGCTGTTTGTTTTTGTCCTCGGACCTTACCAGCTGAGGCCCTGCGCACATAATATGTTAATTTCTTAAAAACTTAATTATATCTTTCATTTAATTAGCTCTCGTCATTAGTTAATAATTATTTAAAACAGGCAACCTTTCAAGTGATTAGTTTACCTAGAGAGATATTTTAACGTAATATTTTTTGGTTTTTTAATTTGACTAGAAAAAAATTTTGGTTACAGTGGCGCTGAGATATACATTATATATTTAAATTATCTGGTCATTAATTGTAAAACTTTTTGAGTAAATAATTATATCCTCAGCTTGAACTGGGTGTCAGGTGTCAATGAACCGATCTCCCACTGGAGTGGCGCAAGTCAACACGTCATTAATAGAGTTTCTTTAAAATTTTGAGTCGTTTGGCGCACTTGAAGCAAACTACAACTATTTCGTATCAATCATATGTAAAATGGCAAATAGTATATTCGGAATTATTCTAAAAGGCACCATTTGTTTATATAATGTAGCTATCTATAGGTCTGCAAGCTAAAATTGTAAAAGATGACCGTAATTTTGCTTGTACGCCGTTTGTCTGCGTGGACGTTTACAGCGCCGACCCAGCGTCTGAAGAAATTGAAGTTACACGATATTTTTTGAAAGGATCCCGTTTCGAGTGTTACACCCTTAATATATATAATCTTGGAGTGACTTTCCCAGTCTTTTTCTCTATGTGCTAAAAAGCAGGATGTCAATCACTCGAGTATATAACTGCCCTAGGACACACGCGAGAGAGCAGTCAGTAGGCAGTAATTTCAAAGTATACTTAGAGCCAATTATTGAAATGGCGCTAGTGAAAGGTGAATGGCGGGAGTCTGCACCCGAACGAAGACAGATTTGCGTCGACTTACCGAGAACCGCAAAAATTATTAAATAAAAAAGTAGTTTCCCGCTCTCTGCTTGTGTATTTTCGTTGGTTATTTTGTTCGACTTTGTGCCCCGGTCCATAGTCCTGGATTGGTCGGTGCTGTAGCTAATAGTGATTGTTAAAAATTCTGGTCTTACAGAGCTACATTGAAAGAGGAGATTTGCTCATCTACGGGGTGATAACTCCAGTAATTAGATGTTTAGAAATAGTTGTTAGTAATACTCTGTTAAATAGAGTACATTTATAATAGATTAGGTCTTTATTTTAACTTCAGGTGTAAAGCAACTTCAGCAAAACTATTTACTATCTCAGCCTCTTTGGCATAGGCGCTTGGATGGTGGTTTATTAATTATGCATTGTTGGGAGCTAGAGCAAACATTGAAGAGAATACCCTCTCATTGGAGTCTCTTAGAACATTTTGTAGAGAAGCTTCTTACTCCGATTATGCATTGTTCAAGCTTTAATAAAGGAAAAAGGTGATACCTTGATGAATTTTAACTGTTAGCTATTCTTTATAATAGAGCATGGCCATAAGGGTGAGGTTTAAATTAAAGTTTAACCAAAGATAATTTTAGCTCGTACTCTTATAAGTTTACGAATGCTTGCTACAGGAATAAGATATCTTTGCAGCATTAATTGGTATCACATTTTAAATAATTAACAAAAGCATATTTATTAATTGTTCAGAAGAACGAAACACGTGACAAAGCAAAGTCCAATCCGGTAATACTTTTAATACCAGCATCTGTTTTCCTCTATAATATATATTATAATACCGTACCGCTTATATATATTCATTTCTTTCATGTTAAATTTAGTATTTTTATAGTCTAAGTAGTTATATGTAAGATTGAAATAAGTTCGTTAAATACCAATAAGCCCTATTTTTATTAGTAAGTTATCTTATTTATCGATCGACCATAAGTAACAAAATAGTCTCTAGAAATAAACTAACCTGCTCGAAAGTTAAAAATAACCTTTTAGCTGTTCACCATAAACAGCGGTTATTTTTCATCTTGCGCTCTTTATTATTTACTATCTATCAAATATCGTATAATTTGAAAATTTAAAACCATAGATTACTTTGTTCTTAATAACTTGCTTTTTAAAAGTAATAACGATGCATCCGTTACAATTTACTTTTTAACATAATAACTGGCAAGTGCTCTTAAATAAATAACCGGTTGTGAGGTGCAAGGCGAATTAAAAGCAACACAATTTCCCTGGAGTGGCAAGGCCATCCATACTGCCATACTGCCAACTCCATAAAGTCAGTTGTTAGTAGCGTACGGGGTGGTTATGGTAGCGCACTATTACAAAAAGTTTTTCTGGTGTAGTTTTTTACATAAAGCGTAGGTGGAATCTATTTCTTTATTAAAGAAAGTCGGTCTAAATCCGCTTATACGTCCAACAGTGGTTTTTTTACTAAACAAAACTTTAACTTCAACGAGTTCTTTTTATTAACCTTTTTTTTAGTATTAACATTTTTTGTTATATATTTTTAGAAAAAAAAACACATTTATGGAGGCAAAAGTGTTTTCATGAATGGCAATGTTTTTACTTCCAGTAAAGATAAAGATACTTTAAATTTAGTTAGAAGCTCTGCTTGTAACCTTCAACGCGAGGGGGCTTTGGAATTGTCTAGAAGTTTGCCTGGTTTTAAAGAAGATTTACAAACTAATTCACAACAACTTTTAAACGCTAAATTAAGGAATGAGTCGAGTTTTAATTTAAGAAAGCCTAATAAGCAAACTCTATTATGGAAAAAAACTAGAGGAGGTTTACAATAGTTAATATTAATTCATTAGAAAGACGTTCTTTACTTAGCTACTATTAGCACGGCTTCCTCAGGGCTTTTTAGATAAATCCTCTTCAACATCACAGTTGTATAAACGCCCCCCATCTACACAGTTCTCCAACTTGTCCTTTTCTTCACCGTCAACTAAACGTCCCGTCTCCACCCAATTTTATAACGTTTTTAAACCAGATATCCACAAGAATCCCTTTCTTGAAAACTTTGAACTTGAAGAAAAAGGTTTGTAAAGTAAAATACTTAACTTTGGAAGTTTTTTGTGGGTCACTGTTTTTATTAATAGGCATGGAATTCTCGTTGGACGAGGAAATGAGTAAATCTACTCACTTGGTAATTAAATTGATAGCATCCGTTGTTGTATATGTTTTTATTACTTCTTTATATTTTAGACGGGAACTTGCATGACTATGTGCTCTCAAAAGGAAGCAGAAGAGAGAGAAAGTTCCAATGACTTGAACATCTTTGAGTGTTTGTCTCCCAAAGAATGGAATTCCGATGGGTTCCCGAAGGTTGACTTTGAAAAAGCCATCTCGAAGTACACGAGGTTAATTGTAAATTTAAGTTACATAATTTTTAGAAGTCGTCGCAAATTTTTATTTATAAAACAGATCTTTTGCGGACAGAACAATTGATGAAAGCGATCTTCGGCCCGTTCCTGTTCTACATAAAACTACCGAATACATGCTTAGTACTATTGAATTTTTTATTTCTTCAAGTTATTGTAGTGTACTTTTTACCTTAATTTTTGCACGCGTTTTTATTAAAGAATTAATGGACAACTATAAGGATGTTACTTCTGATTTTCTTCAACTGTACAACTTTCTTGAGGATCGAATGCGTTGTGTGTTTCAAAATTTAACTTGTCAACATATACGTTCGCTGGAGGTTTTAAACTTTTTAAATTAATTTTATTTTTAAAAAAAATTCACGCGCTTGTTATAATTGAAGGCCGTTTATATTAACGAAGTTTGCGCTCGATTTTTGATCCATTCTTTGCATTATCTCGCTGAAGACTCCCGTTTTGTGATGGACAGAAACTGCAAACTTTTGAAGGACCATCTTATAAGGTTCATATCAACTTTTGCTTCTGAATAGTTATATTAAATTTGAGAAAAGAAAATTTTTATATTTTTTATAGTTATAAAATTTTTATTTATATTGTATTTTTTATGATATTATAAATTTTTTATTTAATATTCATGTTTTACTTACTAGTTTTGGAAATTTTTTTGTAAAGAGTAAATTTTGATTTAACAAAAAGTTATAAAATATATAATCTTTAAACTATTTTTCTCAAGAAATGTGCATTTTCTTGTATTGAAGGTTTCAATATTTCTTCTACGTTTTAGAAGATTTATTTTTATTTATTTATTTATAAGTCATTGAAGTCTCCTTAAGGAACTTCCTAAGAATTATATATAATGTGCTTTTAGTTAATTAAAAGAAATTTTAAATTCAAGAAATAATAAAACTAAAAAGTTTATTTTAAAGTTTGTATGATAAAAATTATATAAAACTTTCAAACTTGCAAAAAATTATATTCCATAAATTTGTGAATACCTTTTTTACCTCGATAGAGTTATTATTAAAATTTTTATTGAATAATAATTATTTTATTGTTTTTTAAAATTAAAAATAATTTTTGCTACAAATTAATATTTGCCAATAATTACTTTGTTTTTAATAGTATAATACTTTTTTTTTAACTTTATAGATTTTGTGTTTAAAAATCTTTACTCTTGTTTTTATTGAGTTTTAAGTATTACATAATTGTATAAATTTTATAAGGTAAGTTGGTCTTTTTGCATATTTTATAACTTATTTTTAATATTTTATATTTCATAATTAATTTCTTTAAGCTTTTTGCGAATTATTTAGGATTTTTTATTATTCATGCTTACATAAAATATTAATTTATAAAAAAGATATTTATTTTTGTCCGCTTCTATAACTTTTTGACTTTTTACTAATTAACTTTTCTTAAATTATTTTTAAAAGTTTTTTTCTCTTTTTTTTTGAGGGCAGACTTCGAGAGCTTTACGATTATCTTCGTGCTTCCAAAGAGAGCGTGAGTACTCCCACTGAGCCCGAGTTCCAGTGCTACTTTCTATTGAAAGAAGGCCTTGACCAGCCGAAGTTCTTCTTCGACTCTTTTTTTTGCTTTCCACTCATTAATTTTTTATTTAAGTGTTATTATATAATTTTGTAAAGAAAAACTTATTCTATAAACTTAGTGAATGAATAAGTCAAGTTTTTAAGAAATTTTAGTAATATATAATTATATAAATATTAAATATAATTATAGTTTCTTATAGAAATTCTGGTTCTTAGATATGTATTTTTAGTCATTTTTGGTATTCTTGATAAGTTTATTATTAACTTATTTTTTTTATAATTACTTTAAATCTTTATTATTTTTATTGCTATATAACAAAACTAGAGGAAAATGTTTGATAATTTATACCTTTTCATGATATTTACATATTATTATAACCACTATTTAATTATGTATAATTAAATTTTAATCAAAATTTTTATTTTTATTGAAATATTTTTTTAGTTGATATTATTGGAAAATGAATCTATTATTAACTTTTTTATGAATATAATAATTTTTTTTTATTTTTTATCGTTATTATTAAATATGTTATGATTTTCTTCCTTATTAAAAAAACCTTTTATTAAATAGTTTGTTTTATCGCACTCTTATGAAACTTCCGATGGCAGTGAGAAAAACTCGAGAAGTTGTATTTGCGTGCTCCGTAATGGAATCAGAAATGAATTACGTCCGTTTTTTCAAGCTGGTGAGGTAAACTTTTTTAAAATTATTATAAATATAAAAAAAATTTCTTTATTTTATTAATATTATAAACTCTAAAAGGTTTGCATTTTTACTTATCGTTATTGATAATGCCTACGAATAAAACTTTCGAGTTTACGATAATTCCAATTTTTTTTTTAATTATTAGTTTTAAGTTATATTTAGTTTTCAATTGACTTTTATTTACTAAAAAAGTTTTTTTAACTCTAAAAATACATATTGTTAAAATTTTTTAATGTTTTCTTTTTTTAATAATCTTGTTATGCTACTTTATAAACACAAAGGGGCTTTAATTTTATATTGTTTTCTTTAAATTTAATTTCTTGAAACTATTACATCAATCTTTTAAAGTGATTTATATTTTGAATATATATATATTATGTAAATATATACATTTTTTGTTTATTTTATCCTTTTATATACTTCTTTTAATTTTTTTATACTTAAATTTCTTTTATTTTTCAATATTATTGGAAGTTATAATTGTAAAATTTTATTTAGGTTTAATCAAATGTTTATTTTAATTCTTCTATCTATTAATATCATTATAAAATAAAGGTCTGCTAGTTATCTGAACGCCTGCTGCTTATCTTTTCATTTTGATAAAATCCGAAAGAAAGCTATCGATGGTTTGCTATTAATAATCTTAATAATATATTGCTGTTATTTATTATATTTAGGAGAAACAATAATGTTATTATCATTAACTGTTATAATAAATTTTATATAATAGGATAACTATTCACTGTTTAATATAATATTAATCATAATAATAACTAATTATTGATTTGAATACATTATAAATATTTATTATAATTATTTATTATAATATTTAGTTCTTGTAGAATTAAAAACGAGCATAAAATAATAAAAGTTTATGTATTAGATATAAAAAGTTGTTATTATAAAACTTTTTAATGATTTTTTATACTAAATTAATAAAATTATAAATATATCTGCTGTTTTACTTTTGATGTTGATGAACTTTTTTGTTACTTTTAGTTATAGTTATCGCCATTAAAGTATAGTTAGAAACGTTACAAGTCTGCTTTAACGATTACGGTATGTTTATGAATATAGTTATTAGCGAATCTTATGCGGGAAGAGGAAGAAACTTTATAGCGATCTCCAAGCTTCAGGAGTGGCTTCTGTTCGAGGACAACGTGCATGCCATCGACTATATGGCGCACTTTGGGATTGGCTGTAAAATATGTGAGTTTTTATTGGCTCATGTGCTAGTTTTTGGTTGTTAATTTTCTTTTTTTTTTTCCTTTCGTTTGCTTTCAAATTTCAGGGATTATTACTTTTTCGAACTTTTTTACTTTATCATATTGTTAATGAGGATAAAAGTTAGCTCTCGCGTTTTCTATTAATATTATAATTATCTTTTAATACGATTTTTGTTGTTCTCTCTTTGTTCGTTTTATTGTATTTTTATATATTAACCACTTTTCGAATTTATTGGAATATTATTCGCTCTATTGCGGTTTGGTTTATTAACTATTTTTTTAAAACTTGTGTAGTTGTATTGTAGAATTGTTGTTACAATCTATTAACTTTATTACTATAAAAGACATATTTCTTCTCTAAACTTTCGTATATATATAAAATTTTACCGCACTTTTGAGCTGCATTTGAGTATTTATTTATTATTATTATTTATACTTTTTTCTTCAGTTTTTTATTATTACATAACTCTGATATTTTTTTATTAGCGGATGACGGGCTCGAGGGAGTCCCTTCCTTCGATTTTGGGCAGACTGGAGAGCGGACTAAGCTGATTGGCCTGGGAAATCCACCACTTAGGCGCCACCAATCAAGTATTGACTCAAAGGTTTGTTTGTTTTTCTACTCTATATTATAATTATATATATAATGTCCATTAACTTATTGTTATTATTGGTACACTCCTTTGCAAGGCAACTTTTGCTTTGCTTTGAAAGTTTGTTCTAGTGACTTCCATTGGTGCATTACTTCTAAAGGAACTTTTATAGTGAAGTTTATTATATCTGCTTTTTGTTCTGCCTATGAAATAATGTCCTAAAAATAGTTGCTTTCTTCGGTATTATAAAATATTTAAGTGGGATTTTATTGGTGATTTTAAATGAGAGGGCTTTTAAAGGAATTTTATTGGTTAGTTTGGATTAAAAATAAAAATTTAATGATTTTAACACTACAATAAAGTAGGCTTTATTTTTTGAAATATTATGTACCTAAAAATTTTGATCTTTTTAATAAAAAGTTTTTTTGCAAATATAAAATTTTACTCACCAATCGTAACTTTAAAATCTTCTCTGCATGGCCCGTAGAAGGGCGGCCTCTCGCTAAGCGACGTCTGTCTTGGACGGAGCGGGACAGCGGCCATATCTTGTATCACTTACTAGATATTATTACTATTATTATTAATAATTAGAAGTTTTTTTTTTAATAAATTTTAATACTAGTGAAGGTTTGTTATTTTTACGATTTATTATATCATTAATAATTTTAATTGAAGTACTATTATATTTTTTTTCTGTTTATTTCATTGTTTATTAGAGTTTTTTTATAATTTTAATAGCATAATATTTTTATTCAATGTTTATTTTAATAGCAACTGTTGCTCATGATACTGACAAGCTTCGCATTTTTCGGGTTTCTATATTATTATTATCATTATAATGGTAATAATAATAATAATTATTTCTTAGCTCTGCAGTTCTGTCTGTGAAAATCTATTAAACTTAGAACTTCGGCAGCTCTTGTCTGACTCTCTTGACCTTCGTAACTACTTCCTTCCTCCCCTTTTTTTTAATTAGTGCTTTAATATATTTTCTCTGTTTCTATTGGACGGAAAGTTTTATTTTTTTCAATGTATTTTCTATAGAGTTTTTCCTTTTTCATTAATATTAATGTTTTTATATTTATTAGTTGTAGTTTATTGAGAAAGTAATAAAAATATTTATTATTACTGTTTCTATTCTGCTTATATATATTAGTTTTAAAAGAAAGAAGTCGCCATTTGCGTTCTGCGAGTTTTTCTTTGACTGAAAATATTATTAACGAAATTGTTGATGTAAACATTTTTCATGACTTATCTATATTTATTATTCGAAGACTTTTTATTCGCTCTTTCAATATTAATTTTTTTTCATTGGCCGCTCCTATCTCTTATCACCTTTTTATTTAATATTGTTTAGTAGTTTATAGATATTCTTAGCTTTTTATCAATTTTACTGAACTTTCTTTATGTAACTTAGGCATTTTTTTGTGTAACAATTTTTATTGGGTGTTAATAGCAATTTTTTACGAGCGTTTGTGTATAATTCTTTTTTATTCTATTTATTATTAAGTATTAATATATACAATGAATAAAGTTATTCTGTATTTTCTTTAAATAATTTTTTTACTGACCATATTTTCATATGAAAGTTATAATACCATTTATTAGTGCACATAAATTTTCCTATAGAAATATTAATAGTAATATAACATTTGTTTATTTATTGTTAAAAGAAATGTTTTGTAACTATCTATAGTTCCGGTGAGTTTTTATGAAATAAGTTTTTTTTGTGAATTTTTTATAATATCGTATAACTTTTTGAACATACAGAACTTTAGTGGCTATTCGTGGTGTTTATTTTAAAGAATAATAGAATTTTTATCTTCAGTACGTTAGTAATTAATACGTTTCCTCAGAATTTTATCGAGCAAATATGCCTAAACTTAGTCAAATATCAGTATTATTCAAGCCAAAAAGCCACGACCAATGAAGCGGTTACTCCTTTTTTATATAACTTTCAAATTATGAATGGTGTGGAATTTTTTCTTAAAGAGTCAATAAATTTATAATACGACACTTCCAAAGCGAATTAATGCAGTAAAAAAGTTATTAGAGCGCAACTAACTATAGAATTCGTCCTTTAAGCAACCGGTATAGCTGGGTTAAGCCGGTTAAAGTCATTTTGGCATTGCTCATAAACTTAAGTAAAGGTTGACACTAAGTACTGAAGCTTCATTTAAGAGTTTCTATTTATAAATAGTAATAGTTAACTATCCTAAACGTTTTATTTTCCATAAAGAAACTTGCGCCTGTAAAGTTTCGTAGAGTTTTTATAATAATTATATATAGTTTATTTTTTTTATATAAAATATAATAAAGAATACGTTGAAGATAACAAGCGAAATTTTGCGTGAATGCACTGAAACTTTGCTATATAATATTTGTGAATGCGCTCTTTCCTTCTGCACACGGAAAGAAAATATGGTGAAAGTTGCTTATAAAATGGTTTTAAAATTAATGAATATATAATAATATTAATAGAGAGCTCCTTTAAGAAAATAATATTTTAACTTTGAAAAGTTTATCATATTTTTATAATATTATTAAGTATATATTATTTTTATTATTTATTATATTCAGTAAAAGTAACATTTTTATCATTTTCTGGTTTTTTTTAACTTTCAATATCTTTACTATGACATAGTTTTTAATAAGACAGTAACAAAAAGTGTTTATCCTTTGCAAAGTTTTATAGAAAGCTAATAAATATTGTATAGCTTTTAAATGAGATTATGGAAAAACTTGTTAAAGAAGTACATGGATTTCAAAAGCTTCGTTACTTCCATAAGCAAGTCGACTTTTGCAGGTCTTCTTATTATTATTTTTATTATATATTCTATATATTTTTAATTTTTACATTTAAAATTATTTTAAGTCTTAAGTTATATTAAAATTAATTTTGTACACAAAAAAATAATAACTTTTTTAAGAGACTAAAAAAAGTTTTATAAATTTTGTATTAAGTTTGCTTTGGCCTATATTATTTAATAGTCTCGCTTAGAATAAAAATTATTAATGATTTATAGCAATAAACTTTTTGGTGTGTCTTTGCTTTGAAAACGTAAACCGGAGCTATTAATATATTTTATTATTGTTGTTATTTTTTGTTATTAAAGTATTTATTATCTTAGAAAATTCCTTATTTTTAAGAAATGGCGTAAATTTTCTGCAAAAAAAGTCTGCACTCGCAGGATATTAAGGTAAGGAACGGGGGTTTCTACGTATAATAATAATAATATTCTTACTAATAGTAACTTCCCTTTGGAATCATCTGTTCCTCTTAAAGAACGGGCCAATTTTTTGAGAATTGTTGAGCGGGAAGGCAGTCAATTGCAAGCACCAGAGCAAAAAGCTTTAAAAAAGGGCTTTTCTGTAGACGCCAATATTTTGACCTCCACCTTTTCCAAGCCAATCACTGCAATGCTTGAAGATAAGCAGCACCAGAATAGCAGTTATGCAGAAACTTGGAAGCTCCTTGTTTGTGTACCTCACGTGGCTTCTCCCCTTGTAAATTCTCTCCGCAACACGTTTCTCGCGGACCCTGCTCTTGTGGAAGACGCCGCGTGCAGGAACTGCGCTTATTTGCTTTGTACCTCATCAAATGGTCATCGCAAGGCGTGTGTGCGGTGGTACGTTTATTCCAGGGAACCTCCCTGTAGTTTCTGCACTGCAAATGCTAGCCACTTTCAAGGAGTGACATCTGTGCTGTTTCTATTGGGCAGTTTACGGGCGGGCGAAGGTGTTGCGCATTGTTTCTTTATATATATGGTATTGTGATGCTCAAACTTCAGATTCTGCCTCGTATTGGAGTCGAAACGAAAAGTATGTAGCAGCCATTATTGGACAGCTGCAGGGGCCTTTTAGCCTGGTAGTCCTCGTGAATCCCGAGCATCATTTGTCCTTCACATATGATTCCGCCTCTGTCTTGAAAAAACTGGGTTTGTCCAGTAGAGCGCGTGCGGCGGTGTTGGAGTTGTACAGCAGCCACTCTCCTATAGTCTCATGGGAAGACGCATTGCTTTGGCTATATTGCAGAGCACCGGTCCTGCCTCAACCTGTCATTCAGATGCTGTCGAGTGTTTATTGGTGGATGGCTAGATGCATATATCTCCCATTCGTCCATAAAGTTAGCAGGTTGGGCGAATCTGTATCGGATTTTGTAAAACAAAATAGTCATTCATTGGTGCGTTACGAAGCATATTTACGCTGCGTTGGCACATGTCTTTCCGCCTTAGCCAGTTTGTACAACTTTTTAGTAACTAAACTCCGTGAACTTTTTACCAATCAAAACCTCTTGGCGATTAACTGGCCAATTACGGAGTTTGTTGATCAAAATCACGAAAGTCTTTTAAAGTGGAAGAGTAAAGAGTCCATTGCGGCTCTGCAAGAGAGTCTCGACAGTCTTATCATGCCGGACCTTCCACCGCCACGCTCATTCACACTGGAGAAGATGGTAAAGGGATTCTCTGATTGGCTACGGGCGCCTCTTAGCGACTTTAAAAATTCTGAAAGTTTGAGTGTTGGGAGCCTGCTACGGTTAATAACAAGTATCGGCAATGGCAATCTGCTTGACTTTACGGTCCTTTTCCACTGTATAGAGAACTTTGTATATCTGAAGCACATTCGCACTGCATCAATCAATGCAGTTTATCACCAGCAGCACATGGACAAGTATCTTTTTTCATTTTTTTAATATGTTTAGAAGCTGACTGCATTTTACGCAAAGTTACTATCAACTAGCAGAGCGCCAAGCCGACTCGTTGCTGCAGACTTTGCACGAGAAATGTCAAAGTCTCTTTTTGCTTAATGAACATCACCAAGACGCCCCCGATGAAAAGTGCATAACTCATTATGACAAAAGTAGTGAATACCTGATAAAGAAAGAAGAAGGAAAAATAAGTCTCATGAGAGAACTTTTGCAGGAAATGCAGCGAGACTTAAACTCTTTAAAGACTCTTTTTTCCTATAAGAAACGTTGAATAACTTGTACACTTAAAACTTAAGTAAATAAAAAAAACTGCTCTGTGAGAAGTAATAACACTAAAATAGAAACCGCTTAAAGTTTATTATTATTATTATTTATTTTGAACGGAATTTATAATACTGTTTACATAAATATTATTTTTCAATAACAAATTCCGCTTCATTTCGTTAAGGGAAGTTATTGCTTCGTTTTCGTTCATTTCCATAATCCGCCTCTCGATCACTTCTTTCAAAAAGTCATCAATAAGCTTCTCTCCCTCCTGAATATTATATAAATATAACTTTTGTATATATAGAAAAGGTCAATACCAATTGCTCTTGACCATTCTCATTGTTTAGCGAGGAAAATTCTTCAAGTTCGGCGGCTTTCCGCTTGGCCATCTGAAATAGGTTGAAGCAAAATCCTCTTAAACCTACAATTATAATAAGGAACTTGAAGCACATCAGGAGGAAAGTTGGCAAGTTCAGCCACGTGGATTCCGAAACTTTGATCGCAAGAACCTTTAATTATAAAAAATAAATTAATAGTCTTTAGGTGCAGTATAAAATAAGTCCTCAAAATTTTTGATATTCACAATATTTTTAACTTTTGTAATACCACCACCGAATAACCAAACTGACCTGGCTTGACGCGATACAAAAGTGTAAGCTTGTTGTCTGTTGTTAGAGCGGTCACGTGGAAGTTGCTGGCACGAGGATAATCATTGCTTTAAATAAGGTGATATTGAAAATATCAAAAGGTGACTATTTCTTGGTACCTTATAGCAGTCAGCTCATGAAAATGAGTGGCAAAGAGACAAAAGGAGTTCAAATCTTTCAGGATGTATCTGTTAAAAAGTTTACTGCCGATAAAGAAGCAATAATAATTATAATACATTGCTCAATATTTACTCTGAAATTGCCCAAGCCAATCCGAAACCGTCGTAAGTGGAAGTCCCCCGACCTAATTCGTCTATGATGAGCAAAGAATTTTCTGTAGCGGACTTGAAGGCAACGCATAAAAATTAAAGAGTACATGTTAACGGGTGTAAAGCACAAACCAATAATTATTGGTCTACATTAAAAATTTAATGACGAATTATATAATAATAAAAAATGGTTTGATTAAAGATCCTATATATGAATACTTTAAGTATTGAAGCAGTTTCCAATAATTCGGCCATTAACGTTGACACACCCCGTAATTGGTTGTCTCCTATTTGTTAAAAAAGTGGCCAATAAACAAAAAAAGTAAAGTAAATTTCGATATAATAGCCGATAACCTGCCCCAACACGTGCATGTATACAATCAATAACTGTAATAACAGCACGTGTGCACGGAACAAAGCAGCCAAGTTGCGCCATCAGCACAATAACACCGACCTGCTGAAACATAACCACCGTTACAGTAAAATTTGATAAATTAAGGGCAATAAATAGGCCAATAAAATTTCGTGCTTGTATAAAGTGTCAAGAGTGAGCAATAAAAAACATTCCTGACGAATGTACGTTGACTTTCCTCCCATATTCGGGCCAGTAATAATAACAAAGCACGTATCGTCTTATAAAAATGGAAATATAATAACAATAATAATTAATAAGAATAATAAACTTTTGGATAAAAATAAGTCATTGGGAATAAACTGGACGTCGTCTTGCACTTCCAGGCACGGGTGACGTGAACCTTCAGAATGATTGTAATAATTTATAATGAATAATAATAATAAGACGCGCTACCCTCGAGGGTGATAATACCAGAACCTAAATACGGTTAAAGTCAGAGCCAATAAAAGGCACTGATCATTTTAAAATAAAACCAATAGGAAGAATCTTTGGACGTACGTGAGGGATTGGTGCATTAACAGAAGCATCGGCAAAACTAAAGAAATATATAAAAAAACATAGTGCGTGGTTTAAACGCCAAAAAATAATAGGAGGGAGCTTTTCTTTACCTTAAAAGAACGTCTAAATAAGCAATTACTTCGTTTAAAGAAATCATTGGCTCGCAATAACCTCCTTCAGATAAAGATAACAACAGCAATAATGAAAATCATAATAACAGCAGCAATAATAATAATAATACGACCTGCTACTTTAATAACTTCCTGAGCCAACACGGACTGCTTCTCGTCGTAGTTGGACTTCAAAGCCTATAAAGAATTGTCAAGCTTTATGCAAAAAGGTAAGCATAGATATGAATTATCAAAGACTAGCGAAATTTTATTGGGCGAACTTTATAATTCTCATTCAAAGTAGACACGACGTTGTTGGTGAACCGAACGCCGTTTTTCTGTGTCTCCAAAGTATGGAACTTATATTTTTGGGCGCGCAGCACTTTTTCGTCCTGAACAGCCGCTGCATAAGTCAGTGGCGTGTTCCAAATGGTGAAAAAAATGAAAACAACTTTTAAAGTCACGCGAAAAAAGAAGCCCAAATGAGCTGCATGTTCCAGCTTAAGGGTTTTGTCGGGGATTAATCCCAATTCACTGGCGACCTTTCATGGGAAAAAATCTCATTAAAAAAAAAAGAAACGCTAGAACCGCCATTGGTCAGATATTCGAATCCCAACAAAATCATTTTATAAACGCCAGTAGTAATACATTTTGAAGTTGTTTCGATATTTGCGTCTTTATATCTTCCATTGAAGTCCGAATGGCTAAGAAAAATACTGTCATTTATTATATTTTAAGACATTTATATGTTGATTTTATAAAACTTATTAGCTTATTTATTTCATAATATTTATGGTTACCCCACAAATCCTCGTCGTAAGAGGGCTTTATATAAACTTCGTGCTCACCTTCATCATACTCCAAAGTCGTTTCTATTAACTCAACAAACTTTTCAAAGTCGACTTTCAACTCCTTAAAATAATAAAACTTTAAAAAAACATTTATGCAACAAAAGTTAATAAACTTTTCACAAAAAAATGTATTGAAACTTTTACGTACTCAACAGAGGAGTAAGGAATTCAAAAAACTATATATTATATCTTTCCTTGGTAATGTTAATATTTATAAAAAATAGATATATAAAAATTAAAGTATTGTAAAAAACAAAAATAAAAAATTTAGGAAAAAATATTATAATATACTTTAAAAAATATTTAAACTTTCATATAAAATAGTATTAAAAACTTTAGCAAAACTTTAAGTTATTTATTGGTATTATAATAAATATAAAACTACTTTTAAAGGAGAACTAAAAACTTCGTCAAGAACAAACTTGTTAGGAGACGCGCAAGAATTCAAGACTTCGAGAAGCGCTGGAAGACGTGCAACGACTTCTTTTAGGCGAAGACAATCCTTTAACATATATACATAATAAAAACTTAAAAAATAGAGCTTCGTGAAAATATAACGGGAGTTATTAAAACTCTTATAAAAAAATTCGTCCAAAAGAATTGTTCAAAGTAAATTGGAGAGTAATAAATAATAAATAAATATTTTATCTACTTCAACATTAAAAGTTAAAAAGATCCAAATGAAAGTTAAAAAAAGTTTCATATTTATTATAAAATATTTAATAAGCAAAAGTAATTAATTAAAATATATTGGATAAAGACTAATAGATTTCTATTAAAAAAAAGTCAAATATAAACTCCAGAAAACAAAATTATTCATAAAAATAAGAGATAAATTAACTTTTATATCAAAAATTTTTTAATAAATATAATTATAAAAAGCATAAAGATAATATTTCAAACATAAAAGTTTCATAATAGAACAAGAGGAGTCTAGTATATTAGAGGATTAATATTATAATAAAGTGAAAAAATAAATTTTAAGGTTCAATAATAGAAAATATAGTAAAAAGTTCTAAAATAAAAATAGTAAATGTTGAATACATTAAAATAAACGATTACAAAAAATTTGATGCACTTATAAAAAAAGTAATAAAACTATAAATTAGTAAGAACTTGTGTAAAAGTTTGAGGCTACTTAACTCATTGTTTATAAAATAATTTCTATTGCAAAATAAAAAAGTTCTATATCAACTTTTTCTTAATTCAAAAGGATAACAAGTAGTTTTTTAAAAAAGCATAAAAGTTATACTTTTCAAAGTAAAAACGTTTCGCAAAAAAAAACTTGCCTTTATAAAAATATATATAAAATTACTAACAAGCAAGGAGGCCTGTTTTCTTAGAAACCTTCTCGCAATTCTGTATAAGTCCGGAACTTTTTTCAAATGCTCTTCCTGAACATCAAATCATAATATTTTTAGACATAAGGTATTATTATTATTGCCTGCATAGTTTGTCGAAGAATGGTATCTTCGACAAATAACTCCACCAAGTTTTGCCTTTCTTCTATTTTTGCCACATCCAACAATGGTTGCTTTACGAGCCTAAATAATATATAAAGAAATAATATTAATAATAGTAACAATACCTTTCCAATAAGCGTCTGCCTTGGCCTGTTTTGCATCGGTCCAGCAGGCCTTTTATTTGTTAATTCATTGTATAGTATTATACAGTAAAGTTTATAGTACCAGTCAAACTCATTGACTTATTAGAGCCGCTTAAAGGAGAAGGAGTTAAATTTAATGCCTTGCCTTAAAAATAATAATAATAACAGCAATAATAACAATAATAATAATAATAATAATAATAATAATAATAATAATAATAATAATAATAATAAAATATATTGATGTGACCGCTAAAAAAGGATTAGTAATCTCATTAGAACTTTATAAAAAAATTTAAGAAAATGGCGAATAACTGCGTTCCATAATATGCAGTAATAAAAAGACCTCAACAAACCACCACCACACAAACACATTTAGCCAATAAATAAGCAATATTATTTAAAAAAAAAAGTTGACTACTTTATTTTTCATTTACTTATTCTAATAAATAACTTAATATTAATCATACAAATAATAAAGTTTTATTAATATTCTCATATATAAATTTACTGGCGGCAGTGTCGAGCCTCATATAAAGATTTAAATCGAATGTTGAAAGTTCAAACTGGTAAAAGTTTGAATCGTCAGACAAAAGCTTTGAGAAAAAATATTAGTAATAAATAAAAAAAAAAGTTTTTATGTAAGTTAAAAAAAATTATCTATAAAAGTTATGACAGGAATTTGTAAGAATAACACCAGAAAAGACACAACAAGAAGAGTCGAATAAAGTTTTTCAACTTCTTTTTATAATTTACCATTTAGTAATAATATATAGTTTTGAATTATTTTTTCTAACCTAGAAATATTAATTTATTTGTACTTGTAGTATTTATTAATAATACTGTTTAAGAAGTTTATATATTTTTCATATAATATTTGCAATATTGAATTTCTGTTACTAATAGTCTTTATAAATATTTTTTAGTATATAAAGTTAAAGTTTAATTTATCTTGTAAATTAGAAATTTTTTATATAAATTCCTTATTATGTCATTTTATTTATAAAAGTAAATTTTTTAATTTTTAGATGCTAATAATAAATTTTTTAACTATTTATATTTTTATCAAAAATGCATTGAACTTAAAAAAAATTAGTAATTATAATAAAAATAATTATTGTTGGAGTATATATTTATATTACTTATTTAAAAAAATATTTTAACTTTCTTATTAAAAAACATTTTTAACCTTAAACCTGTTAAAAAAATAACACACTCAGAAAATACCACCAAACAATAAAGAACGGGAGTGGTAGTAAAATAAATAAAATAAAATGTAAATTATTTAATTAAGGATTGAAATTTTATTACTAATAGAAATATTATTAACTTTCAGAATGTCAGAAATATAAATAATATAAATAATATAGTTAGGCCAAATATAAAATGTGTAATAAATAAAAATTATTTTAATGTGAGCATGAAGTTATATAAGATGTATATAAAAATTAAATAAAAATTATTAATAAAACAATTAAACTCTAAGATTAAAAGATGAAAAGCTGTAATAAAATATATTAAACCAAAAAATTAAATAAAATTGTGAAACTTTAGAAAATTACGAAAATACTACATTTTTAACAAGCAAAATTAAAATTTATAATAAATTCTGCTAAAGAAAAGTTTAACTAGATAATATTAAAACTTTGATAAAAAAATAATATAAGAAAAGTATACAATAAAAAAAAATTAAAAAATAAATTTTTAAGAACTTTCAAAAATCACAATTGTTTACTACAATATTTCTAACATTAAACAAAGTTGAATCTCAGTTATTAATTTCTTTTAAAAAAATTTGACTCTATAAAAACATTTCTACTTATTTTTTTTACTATTATTATTAGATTTCTTCTATTTTTCTACCTAATAATAATAATACATCAGAAAAGTAAAACTACATAACTTATTTTAAATTTAAACCAAATCAGTATAAAAAAAGTGATCCACAAAAATTAAATTTTCATAATAAATAATTAAAATTATAATATAATAATTATAGGTTATAATTGTGCAAATTTCTTAAAAAAGTATGTAAAAAGAAAAGATATAATAAATAATATTAACTATATTTCCTATTGTTGAATTTTTATATAGTGTGAAGAAAAGTTACATACTATATATATAAAACTTTTATGGATTAAAAAAAAAGAAAAATATAAATTATTATAAAAGTAATAATGAAAATTTAAAGCAGCTTGAAAAAAAAATTGTAGGGAAATGTAAAAATTAAAGGGTAGTTGAAACATAAATTTAAATAAAACTCATAAAAGCTTTCACTATTTATTACCTCCAAATAATTTATAACAGCTGCAAGGGAACACATTGCACTTTTTAGTTGAGTTTCCGCTATAAATAATTATGATTCCATATTACATCAACATATAATATTGATAAGTAAACTAGAACTTCATAAGAATATTGAATAAGAAAAAAAAGATAATAAAACATAGTAAAAATACAAACTATACAAACTAATATAAAAAAAGGGTATTATTGCTATAAAAATATTATAATATAAGTTTATTAAAAAAGTGATAATAATATTCTAACGCAAAGTTGCAGAGGAGGCATTTAGTTTCAATAAACGATTCAAATCTTGCACAATATTTTTGTTACTGAATTCTTCTGTAAGTAAAAACATTTATTAATTAATAAAAATTATTAAAAACTTATAATAAAATTCAAGCTAGAAAAATAAATAAATAAATTTATTTCTAAATATTATTTATAATTTCTATAACTCTATTATTAATTCTAATATATATTATATAGCAAAAATTCATTAACCAAAAACAGTATAAAAAAAGCATCTTGAAAATTTTAGTTTCCGTTTATAGTATTAAAACTTTTTTATAGTAATGGAACAAAAATCTATATAATATTAACTTTGACTAACTTACTATCCCCAAAGCCTAAGAAATAAGACAAAATATTTTATTAATAAGTTTTTTGAAAAAGTGACCAGTTGGCAATAAAGTTGACAAAATAGCAGTGATTTTTTTTAACACCAATTTATGTGCGATCTTCCGAACCTCCAATAGTTTACAAGAGAAATTAAATGCAAAGAAACCACCAAACTCCCAGTCATAAGATATAATTTTTAAAGGAGACTAAATAAAAAAGGAGTACGTTCACACAAATAATTACATTAAAAACTACTTAAAAAATTATGTAATGTATATTATTTTTAAAAAATAAAAACTCATTTTTTTAATAAAATAATTATGAATAATAAGCAGAAATTAAAATAATAAAAATAATAATTTGTAAAAATTTTTTTAAAAAACTAATCCCACTATAATAAGAGCACCTCCAACTTTATCAAAACGCATTATAATTGAAACCAATTAAAAATTGTAAAATTATAATTTTAAAAATGTATAAAAAATATTAGATAAATTATCAAACTATTCGAAGTCTATTTTCGGAATCTATTTGATTTATAAAAAAAAATTATATAACTAAATTCAGTTAATAAAAATTAATTAGCAAATTACTTTTAAAAAGTATATTACTTCAATCTTAGTAATTTATTAATACTTCGCGTAAATTATCTCTAAATCTATACAAAAATAAAAGCTTATACTCTCCGCCGTAATCAATAATAAAGTTAAAAAAAATACTAATGATTGCCAAAAAATAATAAAAATATAAGTTTTGACTGCAAACTAATTATTATATTAAGTAAAAAAAACTTCGACTTGACTTTAAAAAAAGTAATCTTAAAAAGTTTCAATAACTTTAAATTTTAAAAAACGAAAATGCTAATCACAATGATTCGTAAAACCCAAATTTATAATACATCACTAAAATAAAAGCACCTTCATATCCTTCAACAATATTTTTTAACTTATAAAAATATACAAAAAAATTCGTATAAAATTGAAAAATAATTAATAAGTACAAATAATAATAAGTTTATACCCATATAAATAAATTTACTATTGCTTAAAAAAAAACCTTTTTTCCTAAAAGTAATCATTAGGCCGGAGCGTTGAAGAATTTTAATTAATTTATGTTTATCGGGATTAGAATCTTCAGAGTACAAAAGACATTCTTTAGCATTAATTTGGACATGAAGAGCCTTTTTAAATATAAAATTAATCCAAAAAATAATTATTCTTTTAAAAAAATAATAAAATAGCTTTCAACCACTTATATTATCTCTATAATAATAAAACTATAAGGTAGAGATTACTAAAATGTTAATCATAAAGTGTTTTAAATACTGTAAACGAGTAAAGTCATATAAGTTAACGGAAGAGATAAAAACAAATAATATAACTATATATTTATATTAATAATATTATTTATATAATATCAATTTGCAGAAGTTACAACCTCGAGATTACTAAAGTGATCGTTATCGGTAAATTCACAAACGGCCAACTTTCCAGAAGAAGTGTCTAAAAGTTTAGAAATGAACTCGTGAATAAGTGTATTCCAAACTATAGAGAAACCAGAAAAGGCAGCTCCTATGCACTTCTGATTGTTAATTACTGTTAAGTTTAGAGATAAAACAATGGGAGACGTAGATATTTCTGAGTTTCGTGCCAAGTCATCTTCAAATGCTTGTAAATTTCCAGGAGAACCCTAAACACAATAAAAAGTGAGCAAACTTTTCATAATAACAGTGGGGGTGGTACTTTTTTCAACAATTTCCAGTTATAATTTTTATCTCGCCCGTAGACTTCAACTCTATACTGAAAAGAAAGCAGTAACTCCCGAAGTGTGGATTCAAACATGAGGAAACTAAGGTTCACAAACGCGTCATCTTCTTTACTATAATTTTTTTCATCAAAACTACTAATACTTCTTTCCAAATATTTAACTACAGCCATAGTATGGTAGAATTTTTGAGCTATAAAAATAGCATCTTTGCCGTAAACCTTTCAGATCAATAGTAAATAAAATTAGACTTCTGAAATAAAAGCATTTTAAACTAGAGTAAGAAAGTTCTTACAGAGTAATAGTCATTCCTAAAAAAAAATCTTACACAAGCATGGGATTTCTAAAGTAGGTATAAAAATAATTTAGTAAGTAAAAAGAAGCAAGCAGTTCTGAAATTGCTTCTTTAGTAAACAGGAACGTATGTATATACCTCTGGCAACCGACTGAAAAACTTTTCAAATTTAGAATCTTGAATTTCAGTCATGATAGTAAGCCCCACACAGTATTTTAGCGATACCGTTCATTTTAGCGATCAGATTGTAGTTTTTAAAGTTTCCTATAGTGAAAGACACCCACATGAGAGTGGGGATATGGCCGCCTCTATTATTGGTCCGGAAAGAGACCAACATTTGTTGCTGGGTCACCGCTCAGCGATAAACGCTTTACGCCAACAACACAATCTCCATTTAGCTTAGAAATTTTCTAGTTATATAGAGACTCAACAAACATAGGCCTTTTTTATGAAGTCGGTATACTGAAGTTTAAAACCTATTTTAAAAGGTTATCCGAGACGTAGTTGCTTTTCTAAATATATAAATTGTAAATTTGGTGCTGAAAATGATTGTGGTGGTTGACTAACTTTTTATGGAGAAGACTAATTATATAGTTTGGAGAAATTAATAGTTATTAAACAAAAAATATAGTTGGAAGTTTAGAGAGGAGGCACGAACTTGTGTTACATTTTTATATATAGATCTAAAAAACGGTGCCAAAGTGGTAGCCTTAGTTTTATAGTAAGTAGCTGCAAATACTTATTATTTAAAAGTGCTTTAGTCACACAAATTAGTAGAAAAATAACTTTCCAGGAGGATAAATCAGACCAAAGGGTGTACAACGTGCCAGCAATCGTATTACCAGAAAATAATCAAAAAATTAGTCTTAACAATTTTCCTAAAAATGTTCGAGTAAACTTTTTATAGTTATAAACCTTAAAGATCTCAGTTTTTATTCTGCATGTAATTTGTTAAGATCAGTAACCTCCGTTATAAGAACTCTAAGAGATTGCCAATGAAAAATATATGGTGTAAAGAGAATCAAATAACTACCAATAAAAGAGAAGGTGCGCGCCTAGCTCTTTCTTAATACACTCTCTGTTTTTTGGGTGGGGCGTATTGGGCTACACAGACTTTTTAGAAGCTATTAAAAATTATAAAATTGCATTAAAGCTTAGACTAACTTGATATTATATTTCTTTATAATTCATCTATTATATTACTTTACATTTTCGTTCATAATATATTTGTTTTTGAAGTTTTAAACCTGTAACACAAAGCAAGAGTACTAAAATTCCCGAGCTTAAGCCGCATTTTTAATATTCGCATAACTTAAACTACAATTTATGAGCATTAAGGCGATCTTATTTCAATAAATGGTCCTCTGAGTGGCAACGTTTAATTGCACTGACACTTCAACAACGATGAAGGAAACGGGTACCAGTTTCTACTTACATATTAAGTATATATTATAATAATTTAACAAATGGGCACTACTACAACCATGCCAGAACCGAAGCAAAGACGATTGAGTGCTATGGTAAACACCAACAAGATATTAAACCAAAGTACAGACCATTAAGACTTCAGGTTCTGGCACTATTGGCTTTGGCATGCTAAGTGTTAATTACATCACATTTAATGGTCACATGCCATCTCCCTAGGTTTCGTACGCAACTAGACCCTATTGATGAAGGTATTTACTAAACTTAGTAGGTCGTAACAGATTAGCAGGCTTAAATGCTCTGCTATCCTTAGTATATAACATGGAAGTTAAAGCAGTCATATTAGTATACATCAACGTATAATATCTAAAGTCAGTTAGCCCTTCGGCGCACTTTTAAAGATACTCATCATAACAGTCCGACATATGACTATTACCGGTTATGTTAAGCACGATATTGCGCACCCGTGCTAACATAGGTAGTTTAGGACTATAGCAATGTTTTACAATCTTTTAAAGCAGCTTTTTTAATTCACTTCGTCCTTATAAATTCTAATTCTTCCCCTTCATCCATTTTAACCCAATGGTAATAAGTTACCTACCCCATCATTTTAGTGGACTTTTTGCGAATTTGTAGCCTTGCGCGAGTTTTAAGAGTAGCACTATTCTAAAATACACAGCATATGCCTAAAAGTGAAGCAACAACTTCTTTTAAACGTAAAAATGGAAAAGTTTGACGCAGAAAAAACAGCAGTCAATATAACGAGGCATCACAAAGGTAACTTAAATTTGTAGGAACTAACTTAGAAACGTAAAAATTCTGTTATAGCTAGAAGAGTGGCAAAGTTAGAAAGATTGATTAATAGACGACTTTAAAGTTTGGCCCTCTATGAAAATTATTTTCTATCTCGAAGAGAAGCAGTCTTTGTCAAGTGGGAAAATTAAACAATTTTTTTAAGTCCTAAAAGATAGGAAAAATATATCTAGGTATGGCGTAACTTAATGAAATGGACCAGTATTTGATTAGGGGCCTCTCTTGAATGACTGGGTTTACATGGTAGTGTTAAAAAGAAATACCTTCTTAAAAGTTTTACGGTACGCAGACTCTTAAACCGACTAGCAATGTCTGCTGAAGCAAGAAACAGGAACAGTAGACGAACTAAAATGCGAAAGCTCACAAACTTAATGTAAAAGAAGGTTTTGCGCACGCGAGTTCAAGTAGTTCCTCGAGGTTATAAGGTCAAATGAAAATGCATAAAATGCATAATTAATTTTTAGAATTTAATCAACTTACAGCAGGGAATTAAAATTGAATTATTGAGCGTAACTACAAAATTGTTTATAGATACCCTTTTAATTTATTGCCACCAAATGAACAGTATATTAGTAATTTTTAACAAAACATGTGTGGCTCAACCATTTTTATCTGCTCTCTCCTCCCTATTTCTTTTTGGTTTTTACAATGTCTTTAATGTTTTTTCAGTTTTACTTCGGACTAATGGACCAGCGATATTATAAAGGTTATAGTTTTAACCTAGGGGACTAGACCAAAGACTAAAAGTCTAGAGGGCGTTATAGATGAAGTTATCGAATAGCTTAGTAGTCTAGAGGAAACTAAGTAAATACTAAGTTAACTAGTTTGACTAAATATTTTAATCAGATTTATTTAAACAAATAATAATAAACATAAGTGTATTTGCTTAAGTCATGTAAACGGAAAAATTATTGAGTTAAATAAGGAGGGCCTGTTACAATAAAGTCAAAAGCTAATCGCTTGAAAGTTTCTACACGACATTTTATATTCTAAGCCTTAAGCGTAAACTTTAGATTTTCTTTTTCTATTACAAATAATGGATAATGAGTTTGGAGGTTATTAAGTTAGTAGAATTTCTTAGCATCATATGAAAACGAACGTTTATAAAACATTTATAAGTGCAGAGAAGACACTGTTTTATTACCTTTCACCACAGTACGTACTGTAAGCTTTATTTCTTTTATTAGCGGTTAGTTCATTTCTGTACCCAATTTATAATAAGAGGCAACATAAGTAAAAGCGAAAACTTTAACGACGCTATTAAACTTGTTAGGAAACAACTTTTTAAATGCCCTTTTATGTATACCATTTTAGCCTAACAAGGAATTGCCATAACCTCAGCGAGAATAAAACTTATGAAATAAAGAGTCTAAAACATGTTTAACAAATTACAGTAAAGCATATTCTATTCGAATATACCTTCCTCAGCTCAACATATTACCAATTATAACTACAATATTTTTAATCAAATTTGACTATAATTAATATTTAAAAAGAATACGTAAATAACACTAGTTATTTTAGTCATTGATATTTAAATCTTTTACGACGCTTTACTTTATAATAACATTAAATAACAAATTTTATTAAAAATCTTTTATAACCAGGTTAGGGGCAACTACGTTACTATAGCCTGTTGGGCATAGAGTTTAACATCTTGATCACTATCCTTGCACAAATTTTCTTATTTATATAATATAAAATCACAATAGTGATATTATACAACAGAATAGACTAAAATATACCCAAACTCTTGTTAATATCAGTTTCGATCGCATCCAAACTTTTCCCGCTCTCAATTAAGGACTAAAAAAAAAATTTCAAGCATTTATTAAAAGTTATTAGCAATACAACTAATAACCTGCCTTATAGAGCCAAACGTCCTTGCAACGTTAAGGCGAACGTTTGCAACGGGATCATTGCCTAAAGCAAATAATAAGGGCAGCACGGAAGTTACGATAATTTCCAGAGTGAGCAGAGGAAGAAGTTTCTGGTATATATAAAAAGTAATAAAAGGTAATAGAGAGCGTTAGGAAAACTCTACGTTGATCAGAGACAACGCAGTTATCCTGTATAAGTAATTTGAATTGTTACAAAGCCGATTTATTTTCGGGAACACTTTTTCCATCGCCCAGTGTAAACTTTGAGATGATATTATGGAATAATAATTATAAACTATAAGAAAAGTAATATAAATACCCAAAAGAACTTGCGAGCTCTCTAATAATATCTGCGGCTGCTTCCCGAACTGAATAAACGCAGTCCAGTAACCACTTCTCTATGAGGTCAGCAAACAAATCTTCCCCTTTGGAAGCCTGAATATTGCGTTGATAACAAAAAAAAATATGACGACTTAAAATATATAAAAGTATAATTGAAAGACGTTCACCAGAATTTTAGACATTTCAGGCGAGTGTTTAATAACAGCCACTCGCACGCGCCACTGCTTATCTTCGCTTAACTTAGCAATTGTCTCGCCAATCAGAGTGTCAAATGAAAAATCTTCTAAAACTACATGCAAGGTATAAAATGGATTTATAAAGCAAGCACTTAAGTAACAACCATCTTTAACGACGTGCATGCTTGATAGAAGCGCTAACTTTACATCAGGAAATGAATCGGAAAGTAAGAGGTGCAAGATAGGAATAATAGATATAAGAGAGCGATCTCTTCCTGAGTTGTTCAAAATATAAGTTTTTCAATGGATATATAAAAATTAAAAAATACACCAAGAATGGGAGAAAGAAACGGGAGGTTGGAAGCTAGAGCCACGCGGACTTCATGCGCGTTGTCTGAAATAAGTTTCTCACAAATAGGGAAAATTACTACAAAAAACAATTTCGAGTAGCTTTCGCTTGAAATAAAAAATTCCCCCACCTTACCGTGATGGGTGGTCTCTAGCCGAACATCAGAAGGCAAATTCTGGCAAAATTGGAGGATCTTACCGCTCGCAATAGCGCGGACGTCCACCTCCTTATCGCAGAGAAGCTTTAGAAAAGTGTCCAATAAGAAGTTTTCTGGGGCGCAGCTATCTTGTAGTAAACACTGCAACTGTAAAAGAGACTTTCATTACTAAAACACACACTAAAGCTGCCGCAAAGGTAACTTTTGGAAGCGTCTCAGCAACCATACATCGCACGCGCCAGGATGGATCATCAAACACCGCCTGAAGAGAGGTCATAAATTCTTCGGGCAAGACGTGCTCAACGGCCAAGAGACTGTTAAGTACAGAGGGACTGCTGCTTACTGCTAAAACTTTGACGGAGTCCTAATCAAGATTTTTTATAAAAATAAATAAAACTAATTCCTTTTTTAATACTTACGACACCTGAAAATCTTGTAGGAGCTCAATTAAAACAGGCACAAGATTTTTTTTGACATGAACGGCACTGGCTACCGTAACAAAGCCTTTAACACAGCAACCATCAGTGGTTATCCAATCCTCAAAATTTAAAATTAGATAACAGAATAAGAGTTTTCTATATAAAAAACGCTACTCCCAACTTCTCTGCAGCCGCCCGCCGCACAAGAACCATCGGATCTCTTGCCAACTGACAAAATATTTCGCATATATCTTCTCTATCTTGAGGATCTGTAGAAGCCTCGTAAGCAACCGAGAGAAGTCCTGTAATTAAACCAAATATACTTCAAATAGGTTATTATAACTGTAGATAGTACAAGTAGATACCAATGACAGTAGCCCGGTTAGTGAACCACTCAGAATTATAAAGTTTGCTTATGAAGTTAATAAATTTTCTAAACTATTATAAAAGTATCTATAATTAAACAAAATCACCTGGAAAGACTATATAAACAATATAATGAAAAAACCTGAGTAGCCTTAACATCTTCAAATATTGTAAGAAGAGATTCTACAGTCATCTTTCTTATGTTTGACTACACGTAAAAGCTTTAAAGAAATATAAGCGCATATATATAATTACTCTAACTTCTTCAGATGAAGAAAGCTTTTCTAAAAGAGGAAGTAGGGTATCAATGTGCTCGTAACCGCCTATATATTCGTGTATTTTACCTTTTTAAATAAAAGGTTGAAGGCATACTTTAATAGTTTAAATAAATTAATCTTGCACCAAGTTCCCTGCACAAAATTGGTAAAAATTCCTCGCGATCAGTGACGATAAATTGTTCAAGAACAGAAAACAACTGAGTTCTAGTTTTATCAGGCCCTTTTGTAATAAATTTTAAAGGTGGAAAAAAATGAAAGTGAAGCTAATAAAAAGATAAAAAATTTTATCTTTTTTTTTTTTATATGCGAAGTTTTTAAAATAATACCCATTTCAATAGCTAAGTCGGTAAGAATATTAGAATAGTTAGATGAAGTTTTAATGCTTTCTCCTAACAAGCTTTCAACCGACGTAGCGATTTGGGTGGAGTCCATTATAAGTGCTACAAAATATTTACAATTATTACATACTATATCGGAAAGATGTGTTTACCTATTTAATTTTTTATACAAATTTGACTTAAAAGAAAATTCTTGTAACTAAATTCAACGTGCACAAAATATACAACTTCTTTGACGTAGTAACTTCACTAGATTTAACCAATAGACTCGGAACGCAACTATTGATTTGGAAAGTGGTTATAAACGTGCCCCTGATAATTGCTATAGAGTTCTGCCGTTTATGGAATGAATAAAAGGCGTTTTAGAAAGCCAAAGGAAATATTTAAATCAGCAAAAAAAAAAACATGGAAATCCACGTTAACGATTTTTAAAAAATTACAGAAGATATTGCCACTATTCCATTTAAATAGCAGACCTTTAATTTGAGAATTAGTGATATAGTATTATTAAATACTACAAATCTTCGAATGATGAGGACCAAAAGGAAACTGGAGTGCAAATAAGGCTACTATAAAATAGTTGCAATAGTAAACCTTGTAGCTTTTAAACTAACCGGTCATCCTCTGAAAGTACACAATGTTTTCCATGTTAACCATTTTAAGAATTATACACCTGAAGGGGCACCACGATGAGGCTAACTAAGAATATATCGAGGGACAAATAGCACGAAAGAAAGCTTAACATGAGTTTAATACCTGATTTTTTTAAAATCATAGGCATCACCTGATAAAATTAAATTATCAGGTTCGTGAAAAATAAAATAATTTAAACTTGACTAGGGCAACACATATTCAAATTAACATAAAGTTGTACATGGAATCAACTATCCGATAACAGTATATACTCGCCTTGAGTTACAGTTACGATTACCTGGTACTTGGGGATAATAAAGTAAAAAAAATATATTAGTTTAATCTCGGTAAATCCACAAATTTTTTCTGAGGGACACGATTGTAAGACTGTATCAATACATGAGGCGTATGCCATAATCAAGCTTGCCCTCCAAGCATTGATAATAAATGTCGCGGGTTTAGTTGTGACAAGTGCGGTACCGAAATCTCCACAATCATATACCTGCGCTTTCAGAAGTCAAACAGATTATTTAAGGCTTTTCGTTTAAAATTGAGGGTCTGCTTTGTTCCCTTCTATATAACAAAGCTCCTTGTGCTTAATTCATCAATTTCTAAGTACTTATTTTCTTTTGCTTTTGGTTTTGGCTCTATTTTGCAAGTTCTTGGCAGTGCACAGCCCTCCCCTCGTGTTCTAAGCTCTTAGATATTCTACTTTTTAGTTTCTTCTATTAATATATCGTAAGCTTTTAAAATGTTTAATTGTGAGAGCTCGTTATTTTTAGTAAATTTTACAATCTTACGGTCATAACAATTACTGAGCATTTTCAACTTTAACTTTTTAGGGATGATTTTGTAAAAAACTAACCGTAGCTAAGCGGTCTAGAGCATTGATGTATAAAACTTGAGGTCAAGTTAACATACCACATAAAAAATGGAGCGTCTATTTTTGGGGTAATGGAAAACCTACAACCTTTTCTTTCCCATCACTTAAATGCTAACCTAACTTCCGTGATTTTGTCTACTAGCAAGCATGAAAATCGACACTAATATCTGCTCCTCCCTGTCTTCTAAAGCTAAGTAAGCCTAAAAAACTTTCTGAAGACCATAATTCGAACTTGAACCTTCTTCTTTTGGTGTGTTTTTCTACAAAAGCGTACAGATATGCTAACAAATTATTCAATTTAATTATCTCATTAGCGTTGTTTATATAATTATTTTGTGTTAGGGTTAAATTCTTACTGGAACTACCAGGCCCTTTTCTATTAAATTTTTGTACCAATTGTGCGCGTTAAATTTTTGCTGTTTTTACTCCAGAGTTTATTTTAGCTGCCTTGTTCTGTTCCTATCTTGGTTTCTGTTCTGTTCTTTTTATCTCTTTTAAGTTCTTTTTGTGAGTTATACATTTACCTTTAGATATAAGTTCTTAACCCACCATATAACTATATAAATAATGCAACAAGACTCCCTAGTGATAACATTACACTTCACATTTGGACCAGTAAGAGAGATCTTCAAGTAAAAACTTCATTTGCTTGGCTTCATCAAAAGGAGTAAAAAACTAACTCGCTTGAATCTCAATAATAGTCAAAATCAGGTCTTATTTAAAGTTTAACTATTAAACGCTTCATTTTAACTATAAAATGTTGCAGTGCCTAGCTAAACCAGAAGTGGGTAGCACAATATTTTTTCCAATAGTATTACTATGGCTCACAATGTTGTAAAACTCCTCTTCCTTCTTTTAGTCGAGAATAAAGCTTTTAAGCTGTTAAAACTACGGCATTAAACCATTGTTATAAGCCAACCGCCTAAGGTTTACTTGATTTGCAGCTCAACTTTTTAAAGCAGGCGTGAACGGGAAAGCGTACAATATGTATCCGCGTACTGTTAGAGGTAGAATAATGGAATCAATCTTGGGAGGCCCACAATAGTGCACTACAATTTTTCCGAACCCAACGCCATGCATGTAATGAAAACTTCTGTTGCTTTCAATTAGTATGGTTAAGACAAACGATATCTAGAGCGCAACTTGGTATGATGTACATTATCTGTGAATAAGTAAGTATATTGTAAATTGCGTTACATAGTTAGTTTGTAAAAGGGGGGGGGGGAGTATTACCGTGGTATAAAAGCTTTAACGTCCTTATAAAGCATAAACTAACTTGATTCTCTTTAGCGCAAGACCAATTTTATTGTTGCCTGCTTTAATTATACGCCTTGGTGCTGTAGAAGTCATCTAACAAATAGCCTATCACTGCTTGCTGTCAAACTCCTTTACTTTATACAGGTTAAGTTAAATATGCCAACCCGACAGATCAGGTTTGGAAGTTGTCATGCTAAAAGCTTATAACTTTATCTGAGAATTCTCTTCTCTAACTGCAGGTCAAAACAAATATGTATCATACTCTAAAGAGTGACGCAGAAAAAGTCACTTTTATAAGCTAAATAAAGGAAGCCCTTAAGCTATTAAACTGGAGTTACCACAACAGTGATTCTTTACAAAAAAAGCAAGAATACTTTTTATTAGCGCATACTCAAACACTTACTTTTTCTTATAAATGAATACCAAATAACACTCATAACAAAAAAATTAAGTAGATATATATATATTACTCAGACAGGAGAGACGTTAAATAAGAAGAAATTAAAAAAAAAGACCTTCACTCTTGGAAAATTAGCTTAATATAGTATGTTCCTAAGGTATAAAAGTTATACAAGAATTACGCACACTTTTCCTGATGGTCGAGGAGTGCAAAAAAAAAGGAAAAAAGGTCATTGACCATTTTTATAGTTATTTTTATCTTTTCTTGTTTTAGTAAAGTTGGAGTTAACTCTTTTTAATCACATGCTTATAACACGTGTTGTCTGTCACACATATTAGATTACTTCTTTTACTCTTCCTGAAGATATAAATACCCTTCCCACGTCATGTCAAATATAAAGACAGCTTGTTGTCATAGCATACTAGCAAAGTCTTACATATAGTAATAAAGCTATTTACAAATATTTAATTTATTCAATAACTGCGAAGAGCATCTGCCTATGCAAGTCATATGCTCTGTAGAAAGCTACCTTACAACTAAACTTTTACTTTTAAAATACAATAAGCGATACACAGAAAAATGAAGGAGGAGGCGGGGAGCAGCAGAGCATAGAGCCAAAAGTAAGACTGCACATTTGAGGAAAAGTAAAAGCCTAAGATCTTCCAGCCACGAGTTGAAGGCCCTCTCCCAGTAACTTATACTGCTCTTCCGGCAAAGAACAAGCCCTATAATCAGAAAAAGTTTAAAAACAATGAGATATATAAAAGAAAGAAAAGAAACACCATCTTTGAAGGACACGAGAATGTTTTTTTTCAAAATTAAGCTTCAATAAAGCCTCCGCCGCCGTCAACTTTATAATAAACGTGGCTGTTTAGATAATTTATTATTCCAGACTTATAATTAAATTATATTTATAAACCTTTTGAAGTATTAAAAAAGGCGGTCACGAGATCTCGAATAAAAGTCAGTGGCGTGGCTTCCGGACTTTTAGCTAACGTCAAACCAACGCTTCCTATAAACCCTAAAAAAAGACATCTTGATCAGATTTGGAAATAGTAATAGTGAATAGCAGAAAACATGTGCTACCCAGCAGCTTTATTATGGCCGCAATAGTGGGGAAGGAGCAGTTGCCTTCTTTCAGCAGCGGAATAATATGGCGAACCACCACAGCGTTATAAGCGCTATTCCAACCCTCCTCTTTGATGATGGCGCTTTTTTAAATATTATTATGCCGAAACAAATAAAATAAGCGAGAAAATCACCTGATAACAATAGAAAAACCTAAAACAAAGTTTGACGAGGCCTCACTCAAACGCACAGGCTCAGTACTCTCTTCTGCGGAGTCGTCAGTACATGGAATAGCCAAATACATTTCTAAAGGTAATGATAACCTGCAAAGCTGAGTTTCCTAAACAACGTGACAGAGTGAGGCAGGAACACCGATTTGAGGTACGTAGGATCCGTGATTTTTTCCCAGGAATACTTTAGAGCAAGATGCTCGTAGTCCTGTAGCACCAGCTTTATAACCTTAATCAGAAGTTTGCTAGTAATTATAGAAGCAAGCAAGTATACGCAATAAGAGACCTCCTGATTGTTTTTAGAAATCTTTTGTGCGAACGAAACTGCTAATCCGCCCACCGAAGCAGCTATGGCGCTAGAGAGAAAACGATCTAACTGTGCTAGAGTATAAAAAAAGACTTTGGGCATTTTGTCTTTCTACTATATATAGAACGTAAAAGATATAAAAAAAAAAACCGACTCGTTAGAAGGACGTCGGAAAAACTACCGAACACATCCGGCCAAACACTGCTGACAGCTTGAAATAAAAGCAGAACAACCGGTGCGAAAGAAACCATAAGAATGTCGCAGGTCAGAATGCGGAGACGATGAATGTCGGAAGACATTTTACAGAGGCCAGCATAAGAACGACTAAAGGAAAAGGAGGAGAAACTTTATCAATGTAGTTAGTAGTGCTCTAAGGAAACGCACACCAGAACACCCGAAGCAGAGGAAGTCGGCAAGTCTTATCCAAAACGTGGAACATATTGAGTGTTTGGGCAAAGAGGATGAGTAAGCCGTCCAGTAGCAAACTAACAAGATCCTATAACAAAAAGTCGTCTCTGAGTTTAAGAGAGCTTTAACTCGCAAGAAGCAGAGAACTCAATAACACCTTTTGAAAGTGAAACTGCAGAGCGTGAATGACCGAGAGCAAAGCCTTCTCATAGACGGATGGCTGCGGCTCCTGGCCAGCCCCACTAAGAAAAGAACAAGAGGGGGAAACACTGTCCCACACATTTAAAACACCGTCAAGAACAGACTCGCTACAGAAGAACATGAGAGAGTGACTATAAGGAAAAAATAATAAATAATACAACATTTTTGTGACGTTGCGTTCGTCTTTAAGAAGGGAGACCACCTCGTTGACGGTCAGCTGAGTATTTCTCAAACCATCTAAGCACCAAAGCACAACTGACGCGACAATATATTAATGACAAAAAGCAAATAAACACTATATGAATAGAAAAAATATACAATCGCACTCGCTTTCTTCTTTATTTCTTAAAAGCCGAAAGGAAGGTTCAAGCTTTTCTTCGTTCTGGTCTGTTAAGAGTAGAAAGAAGTACATAAATATTATAAAACGAAATTATTATATACGGTTGCTATTTTCTTCAAAGTTTTCATAAACGAACGGCTTTTTCTCTCCTAATAATTACATTTAATTAATTTCTTTCATATATTTAAAAATTCATGTGAAATTATTCAATTAAAATGTGTATATTCGTTAAGTACTTTGAAACAAGCCATAATATGTAAAATTCACTTTGTTATTATTATAAAGATAAAGTGATGTACATATTAGATAATATAAACGATAAGTGAATGCATAACGCAAGCTATCAAGGGTTCTGTAAAATTGAATCCAGAAGTAACGAGATAAAAGTTAGAAGTGCGTTAAAAAAAACCTGTTTCGTAAACAACTGTAGAGGTGGCGCCCACGTGGAGTGAACTATCAACTTCTACTTTATTGTAAACTTAATAACCGGTAATATAATTATAAAATTGCTCAACTAGAGAGAGACGGTTGTGCCATTTCTATCACGTTTTCATTTTTAAAATCGGCTAAATAACAAAATAAAAATTACTCAATAACAAAATGAATACTAAGTTAAGCAGTAGACTCAGTACTTCTTTTAATAGGCAACTTCGGAGTAAATAAAGGAGAAATCGACAAGTGATAAGGCCGCTTCAACCTTTCTTGAATATATTCGACTTGGCTGGCTAGAAAATTTTTTTCAAGCTAGATTTATAAAAAGATTAACGAAATCATAATTATAAACATGTAATATAAAATTAATACAAGTTTAAAGTTTTGGAGTTGTCTCTCAAGTTGAGCAGTCTCAACTTTTAAGGCGCTATTCTGTTTACTAATGAAAAAATAAAATGATTAATATAAACTATAAAATAAGTAACCTCATTTTGTAAAATTTCAAGCTTCTGGTCATTATTGCGAAGCAAGTCTTTATATTGATTTTCAACTTGCTCAAAAGTCTTTTTTCTTTCTTGATTAGAATTATTTAAGTTTTGTAGATCTTTTATTTCTTCAAGAAGGGTCATATTTTTCTGTTGAACTTCTTCTAAATTTCTGTTTATGCAAAGGGATTATAGAAGATATTCATAAAACGTACTTTGGAAACTAACTTCTTTAACTGTAAACTTTCTTGTTTAAAAGATTCAAGTTTAAAAAGTAATTCTTGAAAACGGCTTTTAGTAATATTTAATTCATTTTTTAAAAGTTCAACTTGAGAATTTTCCTCAGCTAATTCTTTTTCGTGTAGGTTAAAGGCTTCCTATAAAAAAGTTTTAATAGCTCCATACTAAAGAAAACATGTAAGATATAAAAAATAGATGTAACCTTTCTCTTCTCCAAGCCGCTTTCTAGTTCTTTATTTCTTTGCTGAAGTATAACAACGTCAGAAGAAAGAGTGCTAATTTGAGCTTCCAATTTTTTTTTGTCAAGACTTAACTGTTCTAGCTCACTTGTTTTTATTTGGTAAAGCTTTACCAACTTTTTTCCTTCAAGTGCTTTTTTCCTTAATTTCTCACAGTTTTCACAGATGGATACTTTTTTTCTAGTGTTACCGTCTATATTGTTCTTTTTAGTTACCGCAATGTAATTCGAAATTTCTTTATTACCTTCCACGTTATGATTTACAAAGTCATCTAAAACCATGGAAATATCTTTAGATTTATTTACATTAGGTGTTTTCAAACCTGAGAGAACTTTTTCAAAATAGTCTGAAGAAGGGCCCACATGAATTGTATTAGTAGTATATCCAGTAGTTTCTAAAGAATTAAACTCCGAAGATAAGTTAAAAAGTTTTTTATCAAACCAGTCATTATTGCACTGACTAAGTAATTCATTTACATCGAATTTTTGTTCTAAAGGCTCTCCGAAAGAATTATCTTGGTCATTAATTGACCCTGATAAATTTTTCTTAAAGTCGTCTTCCAATTCTTTATTGTTTAATTTGGGGGGGGTTAACTTTGCAAGCTGTAGCGGTGAATTAGTTAGAATAGATGTATTAGCATCTGTCAACAATTCACTTTTTTTACACTCATCTTTAGCATGCTCCAAAATGGAAATAGATGAGAGTGAAAAGTTTATGTGAGAGTCGGCTTCAAGGACATTTTTGGCATTAAACGGTTGTTGAGAATTTGTTAATTTTTTCTCTAAATTCGAAGAAAAAAGCTGGTCAAAAGGAGAATCGCTCATTTCCACTTATCTCCTTTCAGGTAAGGGAAAAGACTAAAGAAGGTAATGCAAATTATCATAGAGTAATTATAAATAAATTTTGTGACGGTTTATCTACTTGTATATTCGAAGGCACGCCTATATGGAGTGTATAAGATCTTATTTACACCGCATGGCGTAGATAAGCATGGGGCCATCAGGGGAGAGGCCAGATGAACGTGTGCAAAGAGTTTCATGTTATTGCACATTATAACCGATTATATACGTAAGATATGATACCGGGATCGAGATTTGTCTTTGTAGTTCAGTGGTTAAGAGTAACAGGTTAAATGCGTAAAACAACTGAACCGAGATTGAGAGTTATCGTTGTAGCTATACGGTTAGGGCATTGATGCTCTCATTATTTGGTCTTTGATGGTTGCTTTAACTTTGCCCTCATTAAATTCTAGTACGTTTTACTGGAGTCGCGGCCTTCTTAAGAATGTAGTAGTTTATCTTAGCCTAATCTTTTCTTTTATGATATTAATTAGGAGACAGGGCCACATTAAAATAAAAATTTTTGTGAGGCAATAATATATACCGTTGCACCTCTATTCCTCTATCCTCTTAAAAAAATCGTATGAATTGTTAGGTCCCCACGGACTCACTACTCGAAATATTTAGTTGGGAATTTTACTTACTCTAACCTGTCCAATTTATGTAAAATCTTTTTCTGTAACTGTATAAAAAAGTGATTCCGTTATTTATGGAGTTGAAGAATCAAATTTAATTAGTTTTAAAGAATTAGAGAAGGCTTTTAATTACTACTCTAGGGCACCTCTCAGATAGTTTTACAGAGAACTGTTGATACTATTATATCTGCTTTAGCTTATAGAAGAGCAGTTAAAATTTAAACTCTGTTTGTAGAACGCTTTAGTAACACAGTACCTATATAACTTTTTTTTGATATTTTTCTATCGCAATACATAATAACAACTGACCATTTTTATAATATAAGTATCAATCCAATAACTACTATAAAAGCCAAAAAAATTAGTTTTTCTAAATATTTAACTAGTAAATTAAAACCTAAACTTACAAAATCTTTGAAGTAAGTTTTAAATCTTGACAGATTACTACTTCTTTTCTATTAATGTAAAACAGCGTCTAGTATAAGATACTTGACCACTTAAAGACGCCAAGCCAAAAGGTAAAAATATAATAAAATGTTTATTTTAATAAAGAGCGCGCGATAGTGTAGTCTTATAAACTCAATGGAAGATTTATCATAATTCAGAATTGCAGTTTTTTCTTTATTTTGTAATGTTTTCTACATCCAGCTTTTCCCTTAAAGTTGTATAAGGTTTACTATGGCTCTTTCAAATACTCACTGAGAAGTCAGTAGAAGGTAACAGTCTCAGCAAAAATTAGAAAACTTTTTTTAATACATAACAAACGCATGTATTCTTATAGAGGGTAGGCGTAGTTAAGGTGATAACGAAATTTGTTACTTTCTACAAAAGAACCTTTTTGTAATTTTTTTACTAAATTTACTTAGTCTTTACATAGAGATACCACAAAAAAAAGTCTTAGCTTTAAAAATGGATCTCAGAAGTCGATACAGTTGTAAACATTCCATAGAGGGAAGGGCTAGTGGGGAGAGTAGAAGAAAACTTTTTAACAATTGGTCACATTTTGAGGAGCTTAATGCGGACACAGTCTGAAATTGTTTCTGTGGCATGCAAAAAATTTTGTTAGGAGTTTTCCATTCTGCTTTGTTCTATTATCTTTACTTTTTACCAAGCTCTTTACACTATTGAAGTGTTATTACTATTATGCTTCTAGTTATTAAAAAATACAAAAAATTTAGTATAAAGCCGACCCAAGCTGTTTTAGTAAGTTTCAAGTACATACTAAATGTTTATTATCACTGTACTTTGCAGATACTTTTTATCAAAAATAAAAACTCTGTATAAAGACTATAATTATTATATTTTTTTGTGTAAACGTTTTAATATTTTTATACTTGAAACTAAATAAACTATAATTAATTTTATTTTTTAACATATACCTTATAAGTTTAATTTCATATTACCTGCTATTATATTAATACATATATTTTCTTTGAAGGTTAAAGGTTTTCTTTCTTCTAAGTCCGGTGCAGGCAGTCCTTGTAAGTTTAACGCGATTTCTTTATTTACCCGATATATACTGTTAACCAAATAGTTGATCTTCACGATGCGGAAGTCATCTCTTTAGTCAAGGAGCCCTACAATGCATTGAGTTGCCGGAGTTATGGTATCTACACATGCTCTTTGTTTATTTCTTTCAGATTATTATTTTATCTTTTTAACTATTTAAGAGGAAAAAGTTGTTAATATTAAATCTCGAGTCAAGACGCCTCAGTCTCTCTTAAAATATGCTTTTGACAAATTTCCTTATCCTGTGGATAAACTGTTATTCGATCAACTTAAGTTATCTACTATTTCTTTTTTGAGTACTGATCTTTACAAACTTCCGAAGTCCACATCCTTCAACGGTACTGTTTTTATAAGTACATACCTTTTTTGCTTGTTGTTATTATTTGCTAGGGGTTATATCTTTTGAAAGTAAAGCCAGCCTTCCCACCTTGTTTCTTGAAGAATCACTAGTTAAAGCTTTGGCTGTCTTTGCTAACGCTAACTTTCTGGCCATTGACTCTTGGTAGTGCTTGCTGATTTTATTCACTTTATATTTTAATTTTAATTTTTTAGGGACATGTACGACTGGGATAAGTGGGAAGGGGCCCACAGAAAGGCGCTGGAAAAGCAGAAAAAAGATCCATCTGTTTCTTTGGGGTCACCAGATTTACCGCCTCCCTCGACTTTACCGCCTCCGTCGGCATCCCTGCCGCAGCCCACCTGCTCTCTTCCGCTCCTTCCACCTATATCAGGAGCAAACATCCCAGCTGCAGCAGCCGTCGCCTTACCCTTTCCTGTCCCTGTTTCCACTGAGGGGCTCGAAGCCGTGCATGTGGACCCGGCAAAAGCCATCGGCGACCTGCATTTGAAGAGCGAGAGCAAAGAAGAGCCTCTTTTCCCTAAAAGTAAAGAAGGAAAACCTCGTCCGGTTGCTTATGATGTGCTTCTTGTTCGTCAGTTTTTTAAACACCTGCTTTTTGTAGCCTCACATATACGAAAGAAGAACTCGAAAGCATAAAAACGTCACAGTCAATGCAGTACCCGCATAAAGTTTTCTTTTTCTTCAGAATTTTACACAATATTTTATAGTTTCCTATTGTTCAAGTGGATCGGTTGCCCGATCTCTTTAATATAATTCAAAAGTTAAATGGAGCGAAAAGTATTTATTCCCCTCAAGTCGATAGCACATGTAACTTTATACTGCTTCGACTACTTAACTTTAATATTGTAATAAAGACGAGTGGATAACCAAAATCCTAGAAGTTGCTACTGGAAATGAGAACGAAGGGCAACCGCTAGTGGTATTTGTGCGCAACTTTCATACGACTCTGAACGTCAGCAAGGTTTTATTATAATCGTCTTGTGAGTATTAAATGAACTCCCCTTCGTTGTAGTTGCTAATGAAAATCTCTAAAATACGCGAGACAACCCCTTTAGCGCTGGTCGGTAGCAGCGAAATCTTTAGAAGCCGCCATTTGAGCGAAGAAGAGGCAGAGGACGAGGGCGGTTTTCCCAGGTGGCTTTTTGTGTCATTTCTTGCAGAGCCGAGTAGTACTGAGAATGTATGCCGCAGGCCAGCGAATAGCAAACCGGTAGAGCCACGCATGCTGGAGCTGCGAACCTTTGCTTTTGGTGTCCCGTGGGTCACTTTGGCCATTGAAGACCCCAAAGTCCCATCTGCGAAGGACGCTTGGTTTTAGTAGTGGAAAGGGTTTTCCCTGCTTCCTTTCAATTTTATTATTTTAGGACGAAGATACTTTTGAATGATCGCTTTTTACTTGCTTTGCGGCATAACCACTTTCAGTTCGCAAAGGTACGCAGCATCATGCTTAAACCATCCCACCAGCGTATAATTGTATCTGGGACTCCCAGGTCCTGCGGAGTATGTCTGTCGCCTCTCAGAACTATTGGACGGTACCTATCCTAGCCTTCCCGCCAATATTTTACTCATTTTACGGAGTCAAAAGGTCGATAAAGTTCAAAAAATCATTCTGAGTTTGGCAGATGCTGAAAAAATTATCGGTTGGGGGACTACTTTGGAGCTCATCGAGAAGAGCAGTACGTACAATTTTTTGTATTATTATATCATACAACTCGATATTCAGGAAAATCAACAGCGCAGGACGATGTGAACTCCTCCAAGCCGTTGACACTTTCTCCCGCGAGCTTGCAGAAAGCAGTTGATCTCTACTATTCGCAGCTCAACGCGGAAGCCTGCAGTCCGGAAAAACCAAGCTCTCTTAGTGCTGCACAGCTCCGTGACGGCGCCTCCTCGTTTCCTTTAGAAAAGGCCTTTCCCAGAACCGCCCACAATGCGTTTTCCCCTCCTGCCGAGCTCAACACTTATGAGACTGCCTTGGTGCCCAATCTCTACTCTCCAGGCGCCGTCGGCATCAAGTATTCTGACATTGGCAGCCACGACTCTCTTAAGGAGATGCTCTATGAGCTTGTGACTCTGCCGATTCAGCGCCAGGAGCTTTTTAAGAGAGGCCTCCTTGCAAAGTCCATCAGTGGGATTCTCCTTTTCGGCCCTCCCGGGACCGGTTGGCTCGCCCTCCTTGTTAATCTATGCCAGGTTATTGATATCGCGTGCAGGAAAAACACTGCTGGCCAAGGCGCTGGCAGCTGAATCTGGCTGCCATTTTCTTTACATAAAGCTTTCGAACTTACTGAACATGTTCATTGGGGAAAGTGAAAAGAACGCGAAGGTTGATTCACTGATTTCTATTCAGACTCTTCGCGGTCCTACGCGGTGCTTCGGGTGTTCTATTTTAGGCTGTTTTTTCTCTCGCGCATAAATACGCGCCGTGTATTATCTTCATGGATGAGGTCGACAGCATCTTTTCTAGGCGGACATCCGACGAGAGAAACCCGATAAAGCGTGATGTGCTGAACGAGTTGATGTCCGAGTGGGACGGGTACCTTCACATATTATTATTATCATTATTGTTATACAATATTGTTATATATAAAAATAACTGAATAGGATAACAACTGGTGACTCTAGAGTCATAGTAGTAGGCGCCACAAATCGACCCTACGATCTTGATGATGCCGTACTGAGACGACTTCCCCGGCGTCTATTGGTTGATGTTCCCAATCTTGAAGCAAGAATCCAGATCTTAAACGTGCTTTTGCGGGACGAAATATTGTGCGAAACGGTCAGCATAGAAAGGCTTGCAGAAATGACTCACGGATTCACCGGAAGTGATCTGAAGAATATGTGCCTCTGTAAGGCTCGCTTGGCTCCCCGCTTGCTGGCTTAACGAACATTTCTTTTTTACCCCAGCGGCTGCCATGCTTTCTGTTAAGGAGTTTTTGAGCCTTGAGAAGCAACTGAATCCTCCGGAAGCACCAGTTATCACCTTCGATAACTTTGTTAAAGCGAGAGCGGTATTTTTTTGTTTTTATTTTATAATCAATACTTTACCTTTTCCCCCCCTCTAGACCTCAAAGAGTAGCATCAGCGAACACTCTTTCTCTATCACTAAACTGAGAGAATGGAATATTCAATATGGCATGGGAGGTGATAAGTCAAAGAAGTACTTTGGCTTCCAATCTCCCACGGTGGAAAGTACAGAGAACAAAGATTATCAGAAGCTGAAAAGTTCTTCGAAAAAAGGAGACTTTTTTTCTTTGAATAATAATTCTAATGCGAAGAAATAGAAGCTAAAGTATTAAATTAATAATTTCAACATGTCACTGTGGCACTAATGAACAAAAAGAAAATTAAAGTTTACTCAACTTTTTTTGTTAGTGTTTATGAAAGAAAATTTAAGCATGTTTAGCTTGCTGGAATAATTCCTTTAATGCTTAGTAGCAGCCTTGGATAATAACTTTATTAGTTAAGGCGTGCAGTGAAATTTATAGTATTTTTTTTTTTCTTTTAGAAAAATATGAATAGCTTAATTAATAGAAATAAGAGTGGGTGATTTATATTCTCTTGAAAAGTGTAGGCGGTACGGGAGTCCCACATAGCCAAAAGGCGTATACGGGCGTCTTCCTCTTAAGTTTCCCACATAAAAGCTTAATTTTTGTAACGGTAGTTTACTAGTTAAAGCAAGTGAACAATGAATTTTGAAGGGAGGAGAGTAATATTCGTCCTCTTAAAGTTATTTTGAGAACTTATATTCTTATTTCAAACTTTGTATATATAACTACCTCTCTGCCTATATAAATCTAAGAGGTATAAAGAAAGTTGAAAGCCCCTAGTAGGCCCTTTTCTGTATATAAAACTGGCGTATCGGTATAAAAAGGTAATACCTATTAAAGACCTTAAAAATGTTATTTATAGAAATTAACTTACCAGTCCCATATATATAATACATTTAAAAATATATTAAAGTGATGCACACTATAAAAATTGTTTACACTGACTATATTTTGAGCTCCCCGTGAAAGCAAGGCAACACCTATTCCTCCTTGAAGCTCTTCACACTGTTCCCGCTAACTAATAAAGGATAGACACTTGGCAATAGCAAGAATAAAGAGGACAGTGACCACAACCGACTTTGCGACAACTGTTAACTATTCTGACGATCAACTAGACTGTATGGGAGGCCTAAATGGTCTAAAGCCCGGTTGCAATATTTTTTATATACAGACGTATTCGCCACATCCGATATGAGAATAGAAAAAACGTGTTGCAAAAGTTAATGCAACGCAAAAGAATAGATATTCGCTTCGCCAAAGCAACGCAGCTTTTCTCCTAATGTTTCCACCTCTGCCAAATTGCGGTATAGTCAGAAATAGTCTTCATAAAGAGATGGAGGTGTGGTCAATCTGGATTAAATAAAGCATCCAAGCGACTATTCAGTAACACTGCGGCAGGGCTATTCTCTTGAAATCAGGAACTCGCTGTGGTAATTGCAAGACTAGCTTAAAGGTCTATGCTAAAAAAACGCTAATTGAGGACCCTAGGGTCAAAGCTGTCGAAGCATGTGGTGAGAAAGTAGGGCCATATGGACGGGCTATATATATGCAGGTGCTGTGCGGACTGTAGCCGAATCACTTTAATGTCCTGTTTGAATTAGTCAACGGAGGTGAGACATTAAATAGGCCTTCCCTCGGTCTTATACGAACAACGAATGCTCGCCTTCTCCAGTGTTGCCGGGGACGGCCGCTTTACTAATCAGCTTTCTAGATTTTGATGATAGAAGCTAGTATCGATGCAACGATGACACATAGATTTACGTAATCTACTTTCCGAGGATCCAACGCTAGTATACGAGAGTCGGGGCGGTGAACGAAGTGTTGGAAGCTGGTAATACTGTGGCGGCACTTAAAATTTTCTCAAACGAGTTAGAAATAACCGCAGAGTTTACCACTACAAGCAATGGCAATGCTGTTGCGGAAAGCGATGAATATTATAAAAACGCTTCGCTGATCTTTTTGCTGTTCCTGTGCTCGCGACTATTCTTCACTGTCAATAAAGCGCCCCTTAAGCCCGTTTTTTTTTGGGTTTTAAAAATATAAGTGAAAAAATGAACATATAAAGCCCAACTCTTAAACTTAAACTTATCCTTCGAGTGGCACTCTTTGGTGGTTATCTCTATTTATACTTGAAAAAGTTTGAAACAGTGTTTTGGTTTTAAATTTTTTAATCTAGCCAATTTAAAGTTATTATTTCTAGTACTTTTGTAAGGAACTTCAAAGTTTTAAGATCTAATTAATATTATGGTTATATATATCTTTTAAGCTAGTAGACTTTTTATATCATTACTAGTCTATAATATGATATTCCTTCTAGTTTTTTTGCACAAGAATATAGCGAAGAAGTCTCTTTTTAACTCCGTTTGGGTAATAAACCAATATAATAACAGGGATTTTTCCAAAAACGTTGGTATTCTTAATGTCATGGTAATTATATAAAAAGGTATTCTTGAATTTTTCTAAAACAGCTTTAACGGTGCATAAGGTTGTAGATACTTACTAGTATACCTCTTTACAGACTCTACATGAAGCCTCTATGTAAGAACCTAAAAAATCTCTCATAATGCGTGTACAGGTGCTTACACCTACGAGACGTGCTCGCAATAAGTTTTTTTATATACTAGGCGAGCAACATTGCTGCAGGCTGTGTAAAGATATACACAAATTTCTTTTAATGAACCTTGCATAGAATTTTATTGGCCTACTTTTCTTATAGTCAAAGTCCAGTTTAATTAAGTACAGCGCGCCATATAAAGTCCATTAATTGAACATATGTATTATTTCTCCATATGTGCAGGGTACCGTTCATATATCTTTTATGAATTTAATATAGGGCGCAAACTTAAAAACTTTTAAGTAAGCTAAATGAAGCGTGGCTTTAACTAGTGCAAGTAGGAGTACCCATAAAGAATCCCGTTAATTGTGGATATAAGATATCTTTAAATAAAAAAACAATATACTAAAAAGAATCGCTTGATGGTATACACACAAAAAAATTTATAATTTAACGAGTCTTTTAGAAGCAATTCTATAGAAATCCCCATAAGATCTTTAATAGAATACTTGTATAAAACGATTCTATATTTAGGCTTTTACTTTCTATTCGATATCTTTTAAAAAAAGTAACGATCCTCATAATTATTTGTAAATCACGGTGTTTTAAGAACTAGTGGTCATAATTAAAAACGCAACCATTCAGTCAAATCTACCATAGATTGGTTATAATAGGCAACCAAAGGTTTTATGGCTAAATTTGTTCTTTCATGACCTAATTTTAAGAATTTGAGGTATGCCATAAAAACAGACCCTTTTTTTCAAGTCATAAATGACAGTTTAAAAACTTTATTTATAGAGCTTTTAGTTACAAGAATCTATTTTTATTTGTTTATAATACCTTGCGTAGGCCCTTAATTTTATCTGTTGCAAGATACCTAAGGGGTTCGCCTTTTTAAATTCTTGTTAGATAAGAGGGCAAATTAGTGGATTTAACAATGCATAAGAGTATTTTCTACCTTATAAAGATACGTCTCTAGCAGTACTTTACCAAGACATATAAATAATCCAACTTGTTTAGAAGCATCTTGCATAAATGACAAGAAAGCTGTCTATAAACTAGTTGTAAACTGGTCCTACTTTCAATATTGTATCAAGCAAATAATTAAACAAAATACAATAAAATTAACAAATAAATAAATTAATGTTAACTTCAATTCACGACTGTAAAAAAGGTTTTAAAATCAAGAGTCAAAACTCGGTTTAAGTTAACTAAACTAAAGTTGGACACTGGCTTTGAATTTTTGTCTAACTTTTAAGCAAGATCATTGCAATATTACTATAATGGTTAAATAATATCAGGACTTTTGGCCTCTGGGATGATTTGAGGGCGAGTCACCCGTAGGGCCTAACAGCGAGAACCAGAAGTTAATCTTTACTTTGTCGTTCTACTTTGGTAGAACATTTAATTAGCTATCCTTTCTAGAGTGTTAGTTTTTTAATCGTTACATATAGTACTAGTAGATAGCACTATCCCTCCTCTACAGATAAAAATTTTAATTCTATTACTATTTCTATTCTATAGAAAAGGCGCTGTTCTTTGTATACCACAATAGCCAAGATTTCAGCTAAAAATAGTACATTTACAATGGTTCTGGAATCGAACGATAATGCTATCTGTCGTCACTCATTGCGAAGCCAGGCTCATATTGATTTCGGCCGCACCTACCTCTACGAAGGCTTGTATTAGCAACTTAGCCAGAATATAACAATCTTGTTAATTTTTGCATTTATGAAAAACAGTGCTTTATATAGAATATTTAAGCCTTTCAATTTATAAGAATAAGAGAATGAAGACTTGGAAAAGTACTCTTGTACCAGTGTTAGAAATATAAATTGTTCTATCGAGATTGGTAGAAATAGTGTTGTTACTATATAAGGTATTAGGTACTAGTACTAAATATATAAGCGCGACCGCCCGTCTTTCCTGAAATCCAAATGACTATAAAGAAATTAATCTCGACTCTTTAGTTTCGTTCTTCTTTGGTAAAACATTTAATTAGCTAACTTGTCTAGACTGTTAGTTAGTTATTCTGTTCAAAGTGGAAAAAGGAATATGACTTTCAAATATAATTACCCACCATGTGTTTAAAGTATCAAAAAATGAAGTACATCTAATCTAGGAGAATCGATATTGAAGTTGGAAAAAGAAATTTTTTTAAAGTACTTAAACTAAACTTGTTTAATCGTTAGAAAGAAAATTAATTTTTCACTGTTTAAAGAGATCTTTTTAAGGTTAAGTTTCAATAATGGATTGAGGTTTAGGTTAAGGTTAATAATTGAAAGTTTTGTAATTTACTTGTTTACTATTATTATTATAATATTACATAAAATTTTTTATCTCTATAGTAAAATTTTGCTATATATTATAATTATTGTTTTATTTTGGTAAACTTTCCAAAATTTAATTATTTTTATATAGTTTTTACTATCATTTATTATTTTATATAATTTGTATATTTTCATATTATTTATTTATTAAATAGTTTTTATTTAAATATAATTATTTATTTTTCACTATATATTATTATTTTATTTCCATATTCAAAATTTTTATTAAAGCATATATATTTGTATAATATCTTATTAGTAAAATTTTTTATTATATTAATGATTTATGCGGATGCTCGATAAGTCGAGCTCAGAGCAAGTAGGCGTCCTATCTCCAGAAGTATCATGAATTTTAAACATCTCGAGGTGAGATTGTCAT